TATTTGAGGTTAGGAACGAGATTTTGAAAAACTGTTTTCACTGGCCTCTTTGGATGTTATTTGACTACTTTTTCATAAAGAAAGTCATATCATTCCATTTAATTTTTTTAGGATTTGGAGTTATGGTGTCGAAAATAGCCCCCTGGCGGAGAAGGATTCAACTAAATGTAACTATATTTTGGTTGATTCTCATTAATAATAATAATAATAATAATAATTTATATATAATTTATTGCCCAAGGAATGCTCTTTTCAACCATACCAAATTTGTTAAAATCGGTCAGACAGTTAAGAAGTTAAAGCAGGTTATTGCAAAAACAATTAAACGCCCCACGCCATCTTTGTTTTTGAAATAACTGAGTTTTTGTTTTTACGAAAATGATAGATGGTTTTCTTTAAAAATGTGAAAAAAGAATGTTTAGTTAATTATGCGAAATTAAAGAAAATGCAATTTTAAAATTTAAGGTGGCAGTTACGCCCTCTGGTGGTCATTTTTAGAACTTGAAACTATTTTTTAGCGATTCTTCATAACCGATTTACCCGATAATTTTTTTACCCCCAAGTCATATGTCGAACGGTTCCCGAGATATGGCCGAGGAACAGTCTTATTAGGTCACCCGGTACAGTCTGGGAAGTTGTTTTTCCTGGACGACTATAGCAAAAAAATTCTCAAGCGCCTTTTTAATCCACCAACATATTAACCCTTGCAGGGGACCTTTTAATTCCTTCTAATTAGTTGCATCCCACAAAAGGTGGTGTTCATTGATGTTCACCGGGTGGATAATTGGTGTTGATGACTTTCGGCAGGTACGTTATCCTATATTTTATGTTCTAGAGGTTTTTTCTCTAGTTTTCCCAGTCCATACCTTAATTTCTCTAATTGCTTCTTCCCTTCGTACATTTTCAAAACTCTTCACCTATCAATTAATTTTGTCGTCAATCAAATTGTTGTGTTATTTCAGGAAGGCATTCTAAAGAAACTAGAAAACCACATAGAACAAGAAGAAATTCATTGGCGCAACGAATTGAGAAGTAAGGAGTCTGAAATTGAAGTCCTAAAACAGAGGCATTCGACAGAGGTTTGTATCCAAACAAAATCTAATTCTTATTCAACAAATTAAAATACATTTTGTTCGTACAGATAATTGTTAATGCAAGGGAAGCTCATTTTCCAGAAGGCGTTCATTTTGCCTTTCAATGCATTGAGAAATCACTTCCTGTAATAATTGATGAGGTATATACACTTACAAGTAAATACGCTTGCGATGTTGTCCCGTTTGGCATTACTTAAATCTCGGTTTATAATCTAATACCATTTAATTAGTTACAGACTAAAGTGGAACAGTTAGAGTTGCGAATTCGATCAGAACAACAGGAGAAAGGAAAGGTGCTGAAGGACTTTGAGACACTTAAAAGTCAAGCGGCAACAATGGTAGAAAAGGTTGTTGTAGATCAACTTTCGGAGGTGAGCTTTGTCCCGATTATTTTTGTTTGTTTAAAACTTGGAATTGTAGGAATTAAACTCTTTAAAAGAACAAATAGTCATTGAACAAAGAAAAAATCTTCCACACAAACGTGAAGACAAGTCAAATGATTTAATAATGAAGGTGAGTTTTTTGTCCTGTATTTAATTGCCATTTTAATCTGGTTTATTGTCTAGGAACAAAATAATATTTCAAGTAATGGACCTTCTATAGAGGTAAGAGATAACATACAACATTAACAATATTATTTAGTCACTGATTACAACTTATCAGTCAAATTTTGTTATCCACAAACAAATGAATAACAAATTATAGTAAATCTGTGCATTTTGTAACGATGTACACTGTCGAAACCTTAAGAATCTGTGACTAATAATAATTGTTTGTTACTTTTCACATTAGCACCGAGCGAATTACTCACTAACATTCTCCTTTTCAGGCACCTATAGTATAGCCAACTTTCAAGCTCAACACTATAGTTAGATGACCTCGACTAAAAGTATAGACATTAAATTACAATAAGATTTTGCAGTCATTGAGTTTAATCGAAGTTCCGATCTATTCCGGTTTTCTTGCTTTTTGTACTTAGGTGACAAATTTTTCCCTAAATATTCATTCCTACTTTCGTTTAGTAAAGAGTTGCTTTGTAGTGCAATATCAGGGTGAAATTTTCGTGTGTGTTTGTTTCATTCGTAATAGCTTCATCTTTATTATTATTATCATTAGTATTATTAATTAATCGGGAGCGGCTGGTGCATACTGTATCCCAACTGTGTAATGGGAAGAAAATAATTGTGTAATCCGTAATTCGGTTGGCGTTTTTGCACAAGCCGCCACTGACTTGTACTTTATTATTATAGCACTAAAGTTAGAAATTCAGAATGGACACATTGTGAAATCAAGACATATATATTTTATACATTATACTAATACAGAAATAAATGACGCTTTTAATAATTATCGGTTTAAAAACGACCATAGTTGCTTGATTAGTTCAAATTAATTTAATTACCAGTGCCAAAATAACGATATCGATTGTAAATTCATTTGCCAGCAATTTGTAAAAATATATTTTGCAATTTTGTATGTAGAATTTTTTTTAATGTAAAATAGAATATCAAGAGGTCTTATCGCAATAATATATGCTTATGTAATAATAATAATTTAGAATAATACTTTCTACTGGGCAAGATATAATTAAAAGATACACTAGTTTAATGGTGGCTTAAAAGATATACAATACTTAAATAAAAGTTTTATTATATTATAAAATTGTCTTATTAGATTAAAGAATTTATATACCACAAGTTAATATAATGGATTAATAAACGAAAATTGTCACTTGTATTATGATGTGTGCGTGTATAATGTGAAGTTGATGAGTCGAATAAGTTCAGAAAAACTTTGTAAACTGTGATCATTTTCTATAACAATTATAATAGATTATCTGTAGTGTCGTTTATTGTAATTCGGAGTTATCAGTATTTGCACTTCCGAAACAAAACTCATTTTTACCTACACCAATTTGAAACATCTTGAGATTCTAACATGTTATTTGTTAATAATCTTAAATACAGGGACAATTAAAAGTCTTAAGTTGGGATGAAATCAAAACTTAAGACATGTATCAGTCTCCGACAAATGGCATACTTTTACTGTTTTGCAGTTCTATAAATCGCATTGTGAAATTGATTAAACATGCGACTTCTTTTTATTTCTTAAACTCAGGGCCATCATACAATAACAGCAGAAATGATGAAAGAAATGGTATAAGCAAGTAATAATACACATCTACAATAACAGAGATATAAAATAATGCAAAAACTGTAGGGTAATTAACATGAGCCTCGCCTATACCTTAGAATGGTTTGCACTATATCACAAAGGGTTGAGGAAAAACGCCTATATTATTGCTTTCATCAGTTTAGCAAAAAACGTTCCACACAACCCCTACACATAAAATTTGAGAGGCAACACGATAGATCAGTAATTCAAAACCTGTAGAAACACAACTCCTGAGATCGAAAGATTTCACAACAGGAAAAGAAGGAGTTATGAACCTGGTTCCATTTGAACAGTATTTATATGGATGGTGATGGTGGTGTCTTCAAGAAATGGTAAGTGTAGGGAAAAAACTTCCCACGAAAGTTGAATATTTTCCTATGTAGAATAAGAATATTCAATAAATATAAAGAATATTTTATGGTATCCCCGCTCCGCACTAATCGACTGTCTGAAGATAAATGGGACACTGTTTATGAATTAATTTAGTGACATTCAAAACTTATGGAGGTGCAGTTAAAACCCAATAAATCATCCCCTGAAACAGATATCTTTTCTAAGCAAAAATGCTTGCTTCAAAGTATCGTATATAACTCTAGCTGTATTTATTTTCATTCTACTCAGAATTTCGTTCTTTGTTTTATACCTTATACTCAAACAAACACGAAATGTAATTCGATGCCGTTTTGCAGCGCCCCAAGATTTTTTTTTCATTTCCGTATGCCTAATATACCTACATATCGAAAATGTAAAGAAAAGCCATCGAACCGTCACCTTGGAAAATTGGCTACTTCAAATGATGAATGTTTATACATGTGCATTTGATGAAATTTTAATATGCCCAGTCGCAATAGCTACCTAGCTCGAGCTAGGAAACTAATTTGCATTTACTAGGTATCTACATCACAAAATTGATGTTGTATAGAAAGAAAACTGATTTTACAGGTCAGCGCGAATGAATTAGATCAACACAATTTAGTACAAACCCACTATTTAAAAATGCCCATTAAAGGCCAATTTACATTATCGGTCAGATCACGGTCCGGTCAATTATTGTAGCGTGTATTTCAATGAACATGTTCTGACCGTCAAATGTAAATATTCCGATTGAAATAGCATGTTACAATATTTTGAGCGAAGCATCACCTGAGCTATAGTATGAATTAGCCTTAAGGGTTTTTTAAAATTGTGTTAATTTTAATAGGGCTCCTGTAAAAATTCAAATATACCCAGGCCAATCTTTCTTTGATACCGCCAAATGGCACTTGATGCCAAGACTGTTACCACACAAGAGGCCTTGTAATGTAGCAAGATTTTATATAGAATTAACATAAAAGAACCTACTTAGGAATGAATTTGTAGGTGATGCGATACATGGGATGAGGTATCACATGCTCCTATGTCTAGCCATTTACAGAACCTTGGACACACTCTCCCCTCCGCCCCAAGTTTGGTTGAGTGATAATTAATGCAACAAGAGTTCTGATCACAAGGAATCTTCAAGTTCTTGAAATCAGAACAGTCATAAAATTCATTTCATCTATCATCTTTGCATTTTGTAGATCAACATGTATATCCAGTTACTGTTATACATCGACCATTTACACTTTACAATGTGAAAGACATCCGCCAACTACACTCTGCCTTATTTTAACGTATCATGCTCTCTTACTAGCACTTTCAATCACAGGAATTATACTAATTAATCCAGAATATATGCAATAAAAAACAATATAAATATTACAACAGTTTATTGGGTATTTAAAACTTATGCTGCTTGATCATCTCCTTTAGTTGTTCTTGTGTAAATTAATTGGGAATGATGTTGGACAACTTGTTTGATCAAACCTGCAATACAAATAGAAAAATTAATGTTACATATAAGTGTTTTTTAGCCAAGGTAATCATAGTGTCTGAATTATTTGAAACTAATAGATGCAAAAAGGTTTTCATACCAAATTCACACATAAATTATACTTATAGGGTTTTAGAATGATATAAAAGCACATGTTCGTAGAAATATGGTCTCAGAGCAGTGACGCCCCGGTTACTTAGAATATGGGTTTTTTCACTTTCACTTTTACATTAACAAACCAAAATATTACAACTGCAATCTCAAAAATTATTTTCAACATTTCTGAATACATCGGTCGTGTATTTGAAATGACGTAATTTAATATGAATCGACCAGTCAACCTCCAAGTTATGCCGATGTAATACAGACCACAGTTTGTCGTTATTTAAATAGTATATACAATTCATAAAAATGCAACTGACCTTTCTGTTGTAATTCATGCAACGCTCTTCGTGCCAACGATCCACGAACCTTCAAACGTTCCGATACTACTGACGGTGTGATTAGCTTGTACTGTGGTACTTCCTTGTACAACTTTTCGTAAGTCGCCTTATCGAAAAGCACCTGATTGTTCAGCTTATCACGTACTTTTCCTTTTGACCACTTCTACAATGGACTGATTATGGAACTGTCTTCCATCGTGTTACATACTAATACATACCTTCTTCTTAGCCTTACCGCCTCCGGACCCCTCCTTCTTCTTCTGGGTCTTTTGAGGCTGTTTTGAAGAGGACTTTGAATCCTTCTTAGGTGGCTAGAGAAAAACGTGGTTAGTTTTAGAGAAACGATTTAAATTACGAAAATCACAAAAACAACAAATGAATTTTTCAGTTTAGAGCGAGTGAATCTAATTTTACAATTTTTGTGAAAGAAAAGTAATAAATTTCAACAAAAACCGAAAAAAAACTGTGCATATTTACCATGTTGCTTGCCGAGAGAAGACGGAAACTTGGTTAACGGATATACGGGGGAGAAAAGCAGTACCAACATAAACGAGGCATGCGGTATTTCCCTAGTAATCGTAATCTGATAAAGCCCGATTTACACAATAGTTCAAGTTACGGTCTGCTCATACTCGCAATTCAAGCCGCGATAATATAATTGCATCAGAAAATGTAAGGTGAAACTATACCGTTAAAAAAGCGTTTGCGGATCTATGTTTATATAAAGCATATAATAAGAGAAAGAAATATTAGCTCCTTCCGTATTTACATCATATTTAGGAACACCGCCCTGTATAATGACGTAATAATATACCTAACATATCTTCAATCAGTTCTTGCATGAATGAGCCATAGTGAATGTGTTGTAAATATGTGTACCTAAGATAATTTATTGCAATTGATTGATAATAAAGAATGATAAATATAAATCCCATATAGGTAATTAGGTACACACATGAAGCAGATTAAAAGCAAGTCGCAAAACAAACAACTGGTTGATGGGGTACAAGCAGGTAACAAAACCGTCATTCGCAGTCTCAGAATTAGGTGTCGTAACTATATATACATTGATTACAGTATACTTTTTACCAATTAGACCGTCTCATTCACGGCGAATGTTTACAAACAACAAGTCCATACATACGACAAACTTCAAACAATTCGATACTTGCCATATTTTTAAAAGAAAGATCAAATTTATAAATTTAACTACAGACGTCCTCAGACGATGTAATTAAAACGTAAATATAAATTGAGCAAACATTTACATCAAAAATGAAATCGATTTCAAACAAAAAGTTAACGGTGTCAAATACGTGATTCTCCAGTGAAGTTAAATTAAGTCCATTTCAAAAACAATGATGGAACATTATTAAAAAAATATAAAATGTTGCATACCACACACAAATAAATAAAATTATAAAGAAATGCAAAGCTTACTACCTGCATTGAATAACATAAAAATAACAAGAAACGGACTATATAACACGATTCTTTCTCATGGCCGCCTAAATCAAGGTACCAAACGTAAAGCCCGCTTGACATGGAGCAATAAAAATTGCAATTGCATGCAAGTTGCAAGAAAAATTGCGAAAGGCATGCGCAGTTCAAAGCCAGCTGATCAATTGCTGCAAGAAACTTGCATGCAATTTTTATAGGACCGGTGCTATTTTTCTTGCATGAATCGTGCAATTCTAGGGATAAATCTAGTTGTTTTTGTGGCACCAACCTAGTAAAAGACAGCGGCGGCAACTGTGATGCTGAGAGACGCACTCATTACTTGTTTTTACTAATCTTATTTATTCTTGTAATTTTCATGTTTCTTCAAGCAATCAAAATTTAATTTTCATTTGAGGTTAACAACTTTGTTGACAAATCCATATGTTTCTTCTGTTGGCAGACATGTGGCAATTGAAATAGAATTGGACCATGTCAAATACCATGCAATGCTTATTGCATGCAAGGATTTGACCTTGCAATTTCTTTCTGCAAGTTCTTGCGCGTAGTATTGCTCCATGTCAAGCGGCCTTAATAACATAAGCGTTTCCTACTCGAGACGGCGCAGACAGCTTTTTCTTTCTAATAAGTTGCGTGGTTGCCAGCTCTCAAAAAGGCGTGCATCATAGTAGATAGAACATCTCAAAGGTGATCGTTATTTAATTCAAATTGATTTGGTTTTTAAACAGCTCAACAATATCGGTAGGGTTTTCAATAACTTTATCAACATTAACGATTAGACGCGCTAGACTGCAGGATGATCTTAGTTACGCCACTGGTAACTATCTACATACAGGACGATAATAAAAAAGGTTAATTATAGTTAATACAAAGTTATATCACAGTCTAGGGTCTACTGTTGTTCTACTCTAGAACGAAAGTTCTTTGAAAAGTGGCTAGCTTTCAAGCTCATGATTACAACGTTTTTTAAGTCCATCTAAAGATTCAACTTTCCACTAAAAAAAAAGAAATCACCAAACCAGAGTCAAGTTGGCAATTCTCAATTTAAAATTCCATTATATTGGTATCTGTGAAAGAAATATACAAATTCTGGCAAGTCTGACACATGTACATTTCCTTAAAATGTCCCTTTTCACTTAAAATGCTTTTTTAAAAGACGTGGATTAAGCAGATACAGTACCAGCTACTGAAATCTGTTAAAACATACCAAACGTAGTTTAAGTTCTTCTTTCTGGGAACCAGAATGTTATAAATTATGTGAAAACAGAATGTTTTCCTTCAAGTACTCCATCCAGAGATAAACACGTAGGCAAATAGAAAAGTATTCGCGATTAAATCCTAATGTTTATAAACCGTAGTTTATTATACCTATTGTAAAAATTAATTGTGCTATTAAACAAGTGAATTAAAAAAATGCTTCCACTTTCTCATAAAGATACGGTCGGCGGTGGTATTCTGACCAGGATTAAAGAACGGCTAAATGGCTGGCTGAGACTTATTTTCGCAGATCGAAATTCAAGAAACTTATTCTTATTTTTGATACTTAATTTATCGTTCGCTTTTGTCGAATTAGCATATGGCATTTGGACTAATAGTTTAGGTAACTTGCAAGGAGTAGGGAGTGTGGCGGGTTGTTCATTGAGTACATTTTGCAGGTCTAATATCGGATTCGTTCCATATGTTTTTTGACTGTACCGGTCTGCTAGCAGGGTTAGCAGCGTCGGTTATAACCAAGTGGAAGGCGAATGAAAAATATTCGTATGGATATGTGCGTGCAGAAGTAATTGCCGGGTTTGTAAATGGGTTATTTTTGCTATTCATCGCTTTCTTTATCATGTCCGAAGCGGTAGAACGTGCAATCGAGCCACCAGAGGTAGGTCTCCTCATTCGTAACATGCCCTTGTATCTCGTATATTGTAGGTGAAACACGAAAGATTGTTTCTTGTATCCGTTTTGGGCTTCCTAGTTAATATGGTGGGGATATACGCATTCCAACACGGTCATAGCCACGGAGGTGGAAGCTCGCATGGACATTCCCACGGACATGGGCATGCACACAATTCTCATGGCCATTCGCATGACCATAGTATTGACATTGATCTTTCTTCCGGTAATTCACAAATAATGAAAGGAGTGTTTTTACATATACTGGCCGATACCCTCGGAAGTGTCGGTGTTATTATTTCTGCTATTTTAATGCAGATGTTTGGATGGATGATAGCCGATCCAATTTGTTCGATGTTTATTTCTAGTCTTATAATTTTAAGTGTTTTACCATTAATTAAGGATTCCGTGGTTATTCTAATGCAACGGCAACCCTCGAGCTTGGACAACATTTTGCCCCAGTGCTATCAAAAAGTGATAAGTTTAGCGGGCGTTTATTCGGTACAAGAACCGCATTTCTGGACTCTTTGCAGTGATGTGTACGTGGGTGCTATTAAGTTAGAAGTTTCAAAAACTGTAGATCCAAAGTACGTTGTGTCGCACACTCAAATGATATTCGCTGCGGCCGGTGTTCGGCAACTCTACGTGCAGCTGGATTATACGCCTATGTGATCCTTAGGTCAATTAAACAATTTCAAATTATGTACCGCATGCGTGAGACCCAAACAGTTGGGTAGCCGAAAGCTTATTAATTTAATTTTTAAGAATAAAAGTGTAAAAAGACCCATTAAAAATGTTTAAATCGGTGTATAGTCTGAAATTTTTGTTATGCTCAGTAAATTGTTGGAAAATTAAAATTTATTGGGATCTATTGTACTGTTTCATTCCTCTTCAAAAAATTTCCAGCTACAAGGTGCTACATGTAAAGATTGCAAAGATTCTGTACAATTATCCTTCTAATTTTAAAGACATTCGAATGTATTTTAAAAAGCCAAATCCTGAATTTTTAAATTAATGTTTCAAAATATAAGTTATTTTTATATTTGGTTTTTAATTAATGGGACCCAATGGATGAGAGTTGTTCAAGTAAATAGAACAAATGCATACATTATGTGAGCAAAAAAAGACAAGGACACTGCATAACAGTGCTGTTCGTGGGTGTAGGCATCAAATGTAATAGAGTGCGCATGCGCTCTCTCCGTGTGATAGAAGCAAACAGAAATATTCATTTTAATTAAGGGTAGTCTTGTTTAATTTTTTTATGCAACCCATTTGCAATGTGTTTGTTTACATATTAAGACCCCTAAAAAATACTATCTTGGAAGTCGCTCGCATCTTAAGAAAAACATAGATTGTAGACCGGGATCAGGTGTTCTGTGACCGGCAATCTTTTCTGGCGAGAGGTTTATAAACCAGAACTTCTTTGGTGTGAATGTGCAAGACATCACTGATCACAGTCTACTTTATATTACTCTGAATTACTGCGGGGAATTTGCGGGTATACCAAAAGCTTAATAAAACATGTAAAAACAGTTTTGAATGCATCTTTTAATTCTAAACAACTCTTGAATTGTACAGTTCTTTCCGTAAAATGTACAGGAAGGCAGGATATTGCATAAAACTAATTTCCCATGTTAAATCCCTATGTTCCTACTTAATGTGCACCACCCTGTATATATATGGTACATGAAGTACTTACCATACCACATAACCTTCAAAAGTAATTTCTCATAGATTTATCCGGTATTATTTGAAAAGGAATAAAATCTCTCTATAAATCCTCTAGAAACGGTCCTGCATTTTACATATATTTTTATTTACAAATTTCCCTATAATGTTTAAACGAAAACTGTCAGCTTTACAGTACCCCAATTCGGATTCACTTAATGCTAATGGTAAGAACAATATTTTGCAAAACCGTCACTAATAATCTTCCCTAACTAGATGAGCAACAATTTCGGAAGGTGATTGTGTGGCTCGAAGAGAACAAAATAAAAAAATACAAAGCGGATAAACGGGCGATTAGTGACGTCAATTCTTCAAATTGGAAAAACTCGTTTGAACAATACAAGCGAGACGTTCTATGCCCTGTAAAACCGAACTTAACCATTGAGGAATTGGACTGGTTTTTAAATTTTGCTTTAGACATCGAATATCTTAAAAATAGTATGTTACTTTTATGTGAAATTTAAATTGTTTTAATGTCTTATTGCAGAGAGTAAGTACGAGCAGCACTCTCTGGCTGTTATAAAATCTGCAAGTATACCAAATGTAGTGGCAGACAACCCATTAGATTGCTTAGACTGTAAGGCTGTGATTGAAATAATGGATTGTTTTAATTGTTTTTACAGTTGGAGGAGATGACTTTAAAAATGGTGTAGATTGCATTGCGAAGATGTTAAAAATATCTCCACATCCTAATCCCTTGGTAACGCTTAAAGCTTGTAGCAAGTTAATTTGTAGTAGACTCAATCCTGAGTCCATAAAGAATCCCAACGACTTTATTATAAAGGTATAGTTAACTCTGCAGGGAATTTGTGTGATATTTTGTTTCAGGGAACACCATTTCCGTATGAGGATGCTATTAAGGGCTACAATTTAGGTGATCCAATACTAAGTAAAGCTGCCAAAAGTCTTCGACTGTTATATATACAAAACTTAAGAGATCTACAAACGCAATGTAACGAAAGCATTGTGTTTGTGCAAAACATGACTGCTAATCCAAAGACCGATACTAAACTTGGTAAAGTTGGAAAATAAGATGTTATTTATTATGTAACTTAAAAGTATGTAACCCAATAAAACATGATCTGATCTAATTCCTATCGAGCGAATGATTTATTCGTAATTTGCATAATTCCTACGCTAGCGGCGGCTAAAAGTTTCCAATTAAATTTTATCATTTTCATCGTTTGTTTTACCAGTTCCCAGAGCAATCAAGCTGTACTTTGATAGAGGAGGTTGTTTTCGGCTAACGTAAAACAAATAACCTCCAATTCCTACAAAAGTACAAATTGATATGATTTTACAAGAAATGCACTCCTTTTTCATTGTGCCCTAATATAATTAATAAGTGTAAAGTTTTTGTTTAAATTTCGAACTCTACACAGTTGAAAGTGAACAGAATCACAACTATACGGGCTGTTCAATATTTGAAAAATGATTCAGCAAGCGTTTTAACCAGAGATAGCTCTGGTTTTAACCTAAGTTTTTTTAATAATTGAAATTTGAAAATGTTGAGAGGGTGGTCTCCTTTATGCTATGCGATCAAAAATGAGTTGCTTTTGCTGTCGAGTCACCTTTGGAATTTTTGTTTAAATGAGAAATCGTCTTCAGAGACCATGGGACTGCTATTAGCCCTTTGCTTCAAATACAAAATGGGTGGTCATGATCACGGATAGAGGGCACTGTAGTCGTGGGTATGTGAATCTTAAGGGTAAAATAAAGTCGTATGAACACCACTAGGATCGCGTAAAGAGTAGCTTTTACGGAAACCGCGTAGTACGTGAAGCTTTAAATAGCTTAAAAATAGGGCGGGCAGTTCCTAAAGTAACTACTAAAAAATTGATCAAAGTTGATGTATGAAAAGTTCAATTTTTTTATTCCTAAAAAAATTATTTAAAAATTGACTAAAGAAGTGATCGTTACAAACGGGCTTAAGGTAGTACCTAAATGAAAAAAAATAAGTTTTCTAATGACGAATCACGTACCTACTCATGCTGACCTATCTGTTGCTTTTTAAAAAGATGAAGGTCGCACTTACTATATGTGTCAAACAAAATTTTTAACGTTGATATAATTATGTCAAATAATCTGATTTTCAAAAAAGTCAGATTCGTACTACACCAAGAATTGAAGTTGCGAATCAGGAGCATCAAGTGGCCAATCTCAAAAACAAATCAAAATAGGAGTGAAACAAGCAAATAACAATCCTATTCAAGGATTACTTACCCCCAGAAGTTACAAGCAGCTGAAGGCAATCTAATTTACAATAAATAATTTCGCCTCAATCACGGTGAAAATGTTAGTTTACATTAAACTTCAAACAATTCGATAATTTCTATACCGGGTGGTGCCTAGCGCGACGCAGCATAGGGATTTCAATGGTAATTTCTTTATAGTCAATTACTAGCTCCCCTAATTATTTTAGAGCAAAAGTCTAAATAGGTTTTTTTTAGAGAAAAAAATACTGCATCTGTTCATACTATTACTTATAATTTTCCGTGTTTCAAAACCGTAGAAATCGACAAAATAAAAAGGTTCATTTTACAATAAATCAAATATGCCTTGGAATTACCTAAAAAAAACAGCGATCACGTTTCATTATTTGCCTTTGACGTATATTAAATTTATACTTGTTTATAAATTAGTTAAAGAACTGCAAGTGCAATAACGTTCAAAATGTCCGTCAAAACCATCAGGAAAACGACCATACATTTAACGTTTTGGCTGCAGTAGCGGAAAATCCGAATATAAGTTTAGGAACAAATCTTCTCCAAATCAATTTTTTTTCTTCGATTATGTAGGTACTTTGATTCCGGAAAATGATAAACAAATAGTATCTGATGCAGATGCAGCATACATTCTCTAAAAAAAATTACCCCAAGATGCCTTTTATTGCCTCGGTTAGTTGAAACAGAATTAAATATGAAAATCGTTCGACGTCAAACAACGATAACTTAGATACGATGCACTTATAGTTTGTTAAAAGATTCCAAAGCATCACTGATTTATAAACATGTAAATTTTTTATTTTGTCGATTTCTACGGTTTTGAAAAATGGAAAATTATAACTAAAAGTATGAACAGATGCAGTATTTTTTTCTCTAAAAAAAACGTATTTAGACTTTTGCTCTAAATTAATTAGGGGAGCTAGTAATTGACTATAAAGAAATTACCATTGAAATCCCTATGCTGCGTTGCGCTAGGCACCACCCTGTATGTTTAAAAGAATGATCAAAATTTATAAATTTACCTTAGGTCAAGGCCGCATTGTAATCAAAACAGAAACAAAAATTGAACAAACATTTCCACCAAACATGATTTTAAAAGTTAACCGTATCAAATACGCGATTCTGCATTGAGGTTAAATTAAGTACATTTCATAAATAAAGATGGTTATCAAAAGTATAAAATGCTACATACAAAGTAATCGATTTCCGCAGTTGTAGTAGCTTTCGTGTTGTTGGGCGACTTATTTCTCACTCAGCGATTAAAAAAAATATCAATAAAAACGTAAACTAAACGATGCTTTCTCGATCACCGCTAGAATCAAGATTCCAGATCGTCTCGAGACAGAGTGGAACTATGCTTCTCGCCTTTGAATATAGTTGTATTTTATAATCAAAGCTTCTCGCCTTAATACCTATCAAGAGCACTTGCACGAACACCCCTCGAACCGCGAACACCCTGTATACTCAATATGAATATTCATGAAATTAGAACTGTAGTGTTTAAAGTTTAGAAGGTGCAAATTTAAAAAACAACCGATGGTGTTGTTATGTGTCCCTCATTTTACACTTTTTATTAATTACTTTATGAAAAATTGTATTGAATTTTAAATTTCGCGGTCGTAGTTGCTGTGACGCACCAAGTGCGCAGTATCGCATGTGCCACTTGGCAGTGCATTACGTCTTCGTAAGTCTTAAAACTGGTTGGGAGTACTTTGTAGTAGCCATTGTTCTAAATTTGGATATTTATGAAGATAAATTTTCCCCATTGTGCGTAAATCTTAAAAGTCGAGTGTTACAGAATTTTAATAAACAAGGTTTTGTGAAGCTTAAAACAATACGTATTAGTGAAAAATGAATCCGGAATAGTGAGTATTGATTAGAGTTACATCTGATTTGTCATTTTACACAAATTCCCCTTTCTTCGAAATTAATTGCGTAGTTTGACCTCAGATACGCTACCAATACGAGTTTGCAAAACTCTTTTTTATTGATGTACGTGTTTCTCGTCCAAGTTATATCTTTTTTAATACACCCACTTTATTACCCTAATCATTTGGGTGGCAAGCATACGTCATATGATTGAGTCAACTTTTAGCTATCAAGAATTTGGAATTCCAAAAATACAAAAACAATTTTGCTTCACTAAGTTGTCAGTTTTTGATGTTCCCTGGCTTGCACACATACATATTGTTATTGTTTTCTCTTTCGTTTCCTCGTGATTATTATTCATTAGTTGTAGTCATGGTCCGTATACCTAAACTTTTAATCATACGCATTTTGATCGTAAACCCGAAACCAGAAAATGTAGGTTCCTTTGTTTCGATTGACACGTTTATGAAAGCGTGTAATGCACGTTCATGTAAACTTTGAGAGTGTATAAATTACATCTTTGTTTTAGTGATTATTTATTTAAACTGCTTCTAATTGGAGATTCTGGAGTAGGAAAGTCATGTTTGCTACTACGATTTGCGGTAAAACTCACCGTAGCCTTACAGTTTCCTTAAACTAACCTGTATTATTTTTCAGGACGATACGTATACGGAAAGTTATATCAGTACTATTGGCGTAGACTTTGTAAGTATACTGTCAAGAGTTTAAGTGTATTACAATTATTTTTCCGTTTCAGAAAATCAGAACAATCGATTTAGGTGGCAAAACTATTAAATTACAAATTGTAAGTACTTACAGTGTATTTTATAACTTAGATTTCAGTGGTGTGATTATTGTGGTCAGGGCTCGTAGATTTGGAGTAGTAATTAACAATGGGAGTGGGTGATTACATAAATTTCATTCAATTAAACTAATTTAATTATCTACGTTATCAGAAACTGACATGGTTTTTGTTTTGTACTGGGAATTAAATGAAATAGATGTGCATATCTTCAAAGCTTTGCCAATTATCGCCAGATGATCTATAAAATACCTGATGGCATATTCCGATGAGCAGAGAAGACTGTAACAGTGTAACTCCATTTTAATTTTTTTATTTTAATGATATTTTGTATTGTTGAAACTCAAGGTGAAACTATACTGTATTCATTTTAAGAAGGTAGCGGTACAAAGCATAGGGAAGCTTTGACCTTCAGTGTGATTGGTTAAAACACGAGTCAGTATTACGCTGAAACATAAAACGAGTGGCGAATTTTGCAAGCTGGTAGTTTCTGTTGCCATCTAAACTGTTGGAAGTGTCATTAACTGCTAATGTCAAAGATTTATTTCTGTTTGCAGTACTGGATATTTCTACTTTAGAATAATTTTATGCCGTTTTATATTTTTCCTGTGTGTGCTTATCTTCAAACACAGCGCCATCTACTACCTTATTATAATGAATGAAATATAGTATACTAACTTTTTTTCACTACTAGCGTCTGATGACATGATTATTAACCTTTTTTTCACTTGTAAAGTAGGCTTTCTCGGCATTTGTTCAAAGTGGTTAATAATTTTTTATTATTAACTAGTACCTAGTCAATAATGAGAACTGTCACGCTGTCACTTTTAGAAAACACAACCCGAAATTTCGCTCCATGAACGTTTAGACAAGTTCTTTAAAACGAATAATTGCCACCATTCGCAATTTCCAGAGAAATCACATACCTAAAATTATCACATTTTGAAAAAATTCGAACGAAATTACTCTTTGAAAAATCTCAATGACAGAACAAAATACGGCCTGTTTGACTTGTACTTCCACGTACTTGATTGACATGTTAAATTAAGAAACAAACAATTCTGTCTAACCGTTAACTCTCTTATCAATATAATATGTTAATTTAGAGGATTTCAAGTGCTAGTAGTGAAAAAAATAGTATATATACCACGGTAGAGAAGTCTATTATTGCCTTCGCACCTTACACCCCTCGGCGCAAGCGCCTCGAGATGTAATCTTGGTGCTCAGGCAATAATAGTGGACTTCTCTACCTTGATATATAATGTACTATTAGAGGTGCCTTTAAAACACATACTCCGCAAGATGGCACCATAATTCCAAAATTAGGTATATTTATTAAACACATCACTCCCGTATGACTGAAAATCATGTAAATATGACTTATGAGGATAGATTCTGATTCTACTAGCCAAGGAGTTGGTAATAAGCTTTTTGGGATCACAATTTTCATTATTAACCATAAAAACAAGGTTGAAACTTGAGATACTTACATCTTACTTTGAAGTAGTAGGTACTTTTTGAGATATTTAATACCTTCCCAACAACATGAGCAATTAATTGCCCAAATATCATCTCGCATAATTTTATAATTAATGAGTAATGCGAGGGAGTAATGTGGTTAAAACCACCTGAAATTGACGACGAAATATGATCAACCATGTTCGCAAACCTAGTAAAGTTCAGGTATTCTCTCCAAGAGGGCGCCTATTATCACCAAGAATGTTAAATGTGTGCAACATCAGCAAAATGTTGCTTATTTCGATCAGCCTCCTCTCAGATTCAAGTTGGAAATACCGGGTATAGCAAAATGCATTAAGAAACTTTGAAAAACCAAGACATTCTCAGCGTTCATTTCGAATTTTTAAAAGTTTCAAATTACTAAGATCCGTTTCACAAACGACTGGTGAGACAGGGCCATTGTTTAAATTTGCCTTTTCGCACGTCGTGCGTACCATCAGTCGACCGATCAAATACGCACGGGCATCAGTCGAGCCCTTGCGTGTGCGGATGATCAGGACACGCACCGGGGTCATTGAATTAGCGAGCATTTCACATGTATGCATTCCATCAGTTGCATATGGAATACCGAATGATGTTAAATGCAAACTTCTGGAAATATCCAACGCCAACGATAAACGCAGTAAAGTTACTAGATATAGTGACTTCAAACGCACTAAAGTCCCTAGGTTACTAAAGTAACGCGATTCATTAGGCCACTGTACAAACTGCTAATTGAGCCAAAATGACCGTTTGACACCTAGTGTCAGGTTTGACATTTGTTGTGTTGTATTATAACAGTTGTCTGTACATTCAGGAGAGTATTGATGTAACCATTAATTCATTGGAGAAGCGCATCTAAGCACTTTTGCAAGAAAACAAACCGAAAAAAGAAATTACTCAGAAGTGAAGACAAACTAAAAGATCAATTAAAATATTTAGAATTGGGTACACATAAGGGTTTTATGTGGAGTGGTGAAATGATTTAAAAAGCTATGCAACTATATTTTTCTTGTGACGTTAAAGGGTATTAAACGATACGCTCACAAAACTTGCCCTATCCAAGTATCCGCACAATCCAAGACCGACTACAAAATACATACTTTATACATACTTTCCAACTGTTGTTTCAAATTTCGCGGTTCCCAAACTGAGTCAAAATTGCTGCTATTCGCATTACTTTAGTAATCTGGGGTCTTTAAAACGCACTAAAGTTAAGCGCCCTCTATGGGGAAGTGGTAGGTGTTACCATTATAATGGCAATCAAATCTGTAGACTGAAATTTCATGAAAAATATCGATTTTTAGCGACTTTAGCGCCGCGCTTGGCAAAATCTGGCAACTTGTTTTAAAGGCCCCTGTTATGGCCGTTTGCACCGACAAATTTAAGCGGAGCTTAACTTAAGCGTAGCTTAAAATCCATGGCAATGATTATTGAGACAATGGTTGTCATGGATTTTAAGCTCCGCTTAAATTTGTTGGTGCAAACGGCCATTAATGTTACATTAATCACTTGAATTGTACCAGTTGATGAAATTAGAATGGCATCTGCTGTACCTAAAAAAATCCGAATTTTCTGCAAACATTATATCAACTTGGATTTTCAAAAACTTCTTTAAAATTCATTACACTATACAGGGTGCTGGGTGTCCCCCCATTGAATGCTGGCTATCGGTATCTCAAAAGGAGACCTTTGAATATTTGATGTTTTGATTTTCAAGTGCCAGTTATATTGGAAGTTAATACTTGCTTATTTTCACCTATATAATATTTCATTTTTTAATCCTACATTTAATGTATATAATGTCCTAAATTTAGCTGTTTTTAACATTTTAATTTTTGTGTCAAAAATGGTGGCCCAAATCATACTTTTTGATTTTTTCATATATGAATGCTGATATTAAGCGACAGGGTAAAGCTTTTTATGGGAGTCGATGGTGCCCACTGTCCCTGAGCATGATATGATATGACGAAACGCTTGGACCGATTCGGTTCAAACTGCACAGTTGACCTTAATGCCACATGTAGCTTATTGGAAATGGGTCAATCTAATGACCTCGTAGGGTCACACCGAGGTGATCTGCTGGTTTTTTAGATCCGCTTTAGTGGTTTATTATTTTTGCTTTTCTTTTAGCAAAACTTCCACAGTGGACTGTGTTGATATTTTTCATGAAAAATACAGTTCATATCTGCATGAATTCTATCCGTCTCTCTGAGGGAGCGTTTGAGATCTTCGCACGGGCACCTCGTAGAAAGCTGCGTTTATAGACAAAATTTTTAAAAGAAAAAAAATTCCGCTTATATGATGGTTCTTGGTCTAACTCGAGAACGAAAACAGATAGTGATGTCAAACCTTCGCCAATCGATTTCTACTAGTCCAATGATCAGTGATAAGTCGGATTAACAAATTCCCCTACTGAAAATCATATACGATTCTTCGTATCTTTTTTTTATTTAATAGGTCTCAACAGGTAGGGTGGGCGAAAAAAAATGTTTAATAATTTTCTGTTTCTGCATAAGCCCATCCTAACTTTGTTATTTACTAACATAATTTAACGAAATGTTAATTACAGCGCATCTAGTGGACATATTACGAAATAGATTTGCGCATGTGCAGAACAAAATTTCTTATTCATGGAGTGATTTTGATTAAATTAATTTTGATATTGTCCTTCCCATAAATGCAATTAAACTCATTTTCGAAAATCAGATGGTACTTATCAAGCAGATCCACTTATTGGTAGGACCAGGCTTCAAATGTGATCTGGAGAAAGAAATCTCACAAAAAGAAAAGTTAAGGTCTTGACAAAACACATCTGTTGATATTTAACGTAAGCGACGACAGTTACGACTATTTGTGAGTCAAGATATTTAGCTTGTTCTATTTGAGTTTGGTAGCTTATAGCTCTGGCCATTTGACAAAAAAAGAAATGCTGACGCTTAATGTGTGCATTCGTAGGTTGGGCAATATCAACTTTCTTATTTATTAATATATTTTGTTGAATTTTTGACCACAGAAGCTTCTAGTAAAGGCAAACGTATCGCATATTGTTAAAATCAAGTGTGCGTGATGCGCATACGCCGACAGTGCAATGCTAACTTTCTTATTTATAGATATTTTATTTTTAAATTTTAACCACAGATTTTTCTAGTAAAGGCAAACATCACATATTGTAAAAATCAAATATGCGCAGACAGCAAAATTCCAACTTGATAGACATTTCTTTGAAATTTTAACCATAGTTGTTTCTAGTCAAGAAAAACATCACATATTGTAGAAATCGAATGTGCGATATTTTAACAACAAATGTCATTAGTAACGGCAGACACATCGTACATAGTAAAAATCAAATGTGTAACCACAAATACTTCTAGTAAAGGCACAGGGTTGGATGAACCCACCGGGATATTCCCGGTGGGTCGAATTCCTGGTGGGCCGGTATATTAAAAAATAATTACAAATTTTTCTATAATAATCTTATAATACAGAATTTAGTTAATATTGAAAAACTAATACATATTATACAGCCAAACAGCACTATAATATATTATAGACGAGAGCCGGTAACACGTTGCGCTGTTTATTTATTTATATATTGTCCTTCTCTTGCTCTGGGTCCTCGACAGGCTTGCACCTATCCGCATCTGATTGGTTCTTTCAATTTAATTTGAATGCGATCGCGATCGCTTTTGTTGAAAGAACCAATCGGATGAGTAAGAGACATCTTACCCTCTTAGTTTTCCCTTCTCTCTCACCTGCAATATCCGTGCTTAGCATTGGCATGCGGAGTCTATGTATTATATGTCTATGGTCCAATCCTGTAAAGGCACACATATCACATATTGTAAAAATCAGATATGCGCATGCGCAGATTGCTCAATGCCAACTTTCTTAGACATTTATGTGAAAGTTAGGATCAATGGATGGAAAATGCGCTGCAGTTAAGTTACTCGCCTTAGCGCGAAACCCGGTTTACTTGTTTTATTACACATGAGATATGGTGGAATAATGATATATTCAAATCTGTTTGGTACCGGGTTAGCACGAATTAATTCATATAAAAGTCAGTGGTTTAATTGGAGAATTAGTTCAAATGATTTTTTCAAAAAAGAATAAGAATTAATTCTCTTCCCAAAGGAAACGAATTGCAATATCTACTCTATCTACAAAAGATTATTTCAAAAAATTTGCTGTGGCTAACACAAGTACCACCCGCCCCACCTGCGCATGCGCGATTCTGCCCTTTTGTATCTAAGAATATGTGTAGCAAATTTTGTTTAAATCGGTTCAACCGTTTAGCGGGAAAAGAGGTTTTGACACACTTGCCGCAAAATCTCACCATCTCTCCCCAAAGTAATAAAAAACAAACGCACTCACTTCTAGTTGCTTTTGGCGATTCAGACCTAGCAACGTACCTTTTTTTTTTGTTGCGCCAAATGCCGTAATTTGAAAGCAATTATTGTATTTCCGGATATGAGTCAAAAAATGTATAGAATCTGGCCCATTTCCGGAAACCAAGGAATGTAGTGGCTCTGGTGGCGGTACTAATGGCGTCAATTTCACATGGTCACTTGTGCAACACAATCCCGGGGCGTCAATTTTAATCTTAGAAGCCTTGCAATGTGGACACACAAAGTTCTTTGGTCTAATAGCAACGATTGACTGAAAACTGTAATCGTTGCTACGTTATAATTATTAAATGCAACTTGATAGGGATTAAAGGGGACATTTCTGCGTTGTTCATATCGATTCCGTTAACTTCGTTTCGTGTTTCGCTTTTCTCGTCAGTTTGACTTAAGTACTCGTATATATGTTTGACTTGTAGGATTACGAATTCTACGACATAAGTTGGTACCTACGTCTAATTAGTAGCATCTTGAAAAAACTAAAATTCAACTGAAAATAGAAATTGATTCCCTTAGTGTTTCTATTAACTATGTATCCCACGTGTTTAGTCTAAACATTCAACACTTACTTACCAAAAATGGATATTAGGTACTTATATCAAACTTTTAATATAAAAGGCGTGATTGCGGTAAAATAACCTCGAACCTTCTCAAAAAACTCACTGAAATCTGGATAAACTATCCGATCGAATTGACAGCACACTATGATATGAATAAATAAATTTTTTTACGAATATGCCGATCCATTGCCGATCGCTGTAGCTGTTAAAACAATTGCCGTCGCACCGTCAAACGCGCGATGTTTAAATAGTCGATAAGTTTTCTCCAATTTTCTGCGCGATTTTCTTAGTTTTTCTTGCCATAAGAACCTTCTAAACAGTATTAGAAAACTTAAAAAAAAAAGATGAATGAAATCAGTGAAGTCGTTCTAAAGTTATTGCGTGACCAGAAAAAACAGGGGTTCATTTTTATATATAGAGATAGTGTCCGTCAAAATGGATATGCAGATCTAGTTCTCCAGTACATTACAAGAATCATTTTGTGTTTTCAAGTCTTGCCTAAAGAATATAAAGAGGGTTGCATTAAATTTTCGTTCCTCATAAAGTGTTGTGACTCATTCTTGTTGATGGCTGTGCTAACAGTTTATTTAACTTTTAGTGGGACACAGCAGGGCAAGAACGCTTCCGAACAATTACATCTAGCTACTACAGAGGAGCACACGGTATAATCGTCGTGTACGATTGCACAGACCAAGACTCTTTCAACAATGTAAAGCAGTGGTTGGAAGAAATTGATCGTTACGCATGTGATAATGTGAACAAACTGCTTGTAGGAAATAAAAATGATCTTACTACGAAGAAAGTTGTCGATTTCACTACGGCTAAAGTAAGTAGTTTTCTCTTTCTTTCTCGGCACTCGCTACAATAAGGTACATTGTAGGAATATGCCGATCAGTTAGGCATTCCTTTTCTCGAGACGTCTGCAAAAAATGCGACAAACGTAGAACAGGCTTTCATGACAATGGCTGAAGAAATTAAAAACCGCGTGGGTCCGCCGTCGTCTACTGCAGAGCAAGCTAGTAAAGTAAAAATTGATCAAGGGCGTCCTATTGAAACTAAATCGGGTTGTTGCTGAAACACGCAACCTTAAATAATTTTTTTACAGGTTAGTTCTTTTTCGCCTTCTTAAAAAAAATATAAAGAAGGCGCAACAAACTGTATTTTCCAATGTTATTTCAATAAACTTCACTTCGCCACTTTTCTTTTGCGTTTAATTTGCTCAGTTTTGTTAATAATGTACTTGTGATTTGTCACTTTCGCGTGCTTATGAAAAATGTATGTTTTTCTATCTTGCAGGAGTTTGGCTCGGTCACCGTGACTTTTTTTTTTCTTTGTAGATTTAAAGGACTGTCGTCTTGAATGTAGTAATCCGTCAACTCTATATATCATATGTGTATAGTTAATCTTTGTTTTGTCATTGGTGACATTTTTTTATATTTGCATACCTGTTATAATATAATCAACACCAATGTAGTTAGTTCCATTAATTATATTGTTTTTATAAATATTTAGATAGTTCATTAAAATTATTTATTAATATTTTTTGTTTTTTTCAAATCATGTATGTAGTAGGGTGGTTATAAAGTTGGAACGAAATTGTGTGTAGTTATGTTGTAAGTTTCATTTGTTGTTTTGTTGTAAAATTAAAAAAGATTTTGTATTTTAAATTACAACATAACTACTGAAATTGTTTTTATGTTGTGTTATGACTTGTGTTAAAATATCAACTACAGGGAACACTTATTTTGTTTTATAAAGCCCAAATCTGCTTTGAAAGCAGTAGTCTTTTATGGTGCATATTTGTACGCTTTTTTTTCCTTAAATAGGGCAGTGTAGTGATAGTTTCAACTGGTGTGTATGAAACATATGAATTATGGACTATGTAGGTTTATTCGAGAATAGTATATTTGCATATAACAGTGCACATCATTAAACTTAGAGAAGCACCGACTTTCGGTTTACTTACAAGAAAGGAGTCAATGATATATACTTTTCAAATTTGATTAAGGTGCAAAACTTTCAAACTATCCATTATAAAAATGTATCATAATTTTTGTAGTTCATATTTGTACAAGAATAATGTAATATAAGTAAAATTGATTTAAACTACTCCTGAAGTTACATTTTACAGACCTTCCTAATCAATCTTCCACTGCAACAGGTAGCATAACAGTAAATAGTGGATAGTGGAATAGTTCTTTGTAATGCAAACAATTATTTCTTGTGATGTTGTTTTAGCGATTATCACACTTGAATAAGAAGCATTGTGACTTTTCTTATAACGTTATTTTCATGTACCTCTCTTGAGTGTAGAGTTAAATATGGGAAAATAGTTCTGGTTTGATGATTGATTTATCTGTTCTTTTATTCAAATTTACACGTATATACAGGGTTTTCCATGACCATATGTAAAAAAAATTGGGCGATAGAAGAGACAAAGACGAGCACTTTTTCCTAATAAATCGAGGGTCCAACGTGTTTCTTTTAGGAACCACCCCCCAAAGTGGTGAAATTTGGATTTCTTCTTTAATTTTTTCCTCGTCTCGTTTTTGAATAGGTTTTTGGGTATGCCGTATCCCATTTTTAAAAATTTTTTTTCAAAATTCCTACCACGAAAGTGCGCACATCTACTTGGGGGTGAGAAAAAAAATTCTGAGTAACTATATTTGGGGTTTTTAAACATGAAAATCATAAATCTCTGGAATTAGTTTTTGAAAATTCGAAAAAAAAAGTTCCACTGCAATTCTTGACCGGACAACGAAAATGGAGAGAATTCCATGAAATTTGTTGTGTACATACTTAAGCTCGAGTGAGTAGTTGCTCTGGCAACATCCACGTGCGACGTACCACGTATAGATTTTGATTACATCATACAATTTTACAAATCTCTTAACAAAGAAAATAAACATTGCATGCCACAAGACATGTTCCGAAATTTGAAAAAAGAACAATCTTAATTCGATTTAAGCATTACGAACAAAGATGTTATAAGCTAGTGGTAAGCTGAGGAGATTAGTGCAGTTGCCTCCACGGGAATTAGTGCTTGTTATGGATCTGGCTTAACTACCACTGAGATGGTCCTTACACACTTAGGTATTTTGTTGCAGGATACTAGATGTTATGATGTGGGGATTACTATATTGTACCGTTTGTATAATGAATCTTTGATCGGCAACAAAAGCCAATCGGTATGAAATGAAATCAACGCAGACGCACGCATCAAGTTACCATAAATCCTGGATGTATCCTCTATAGCGACTAAAGTGGCGACCTGGGCTGGGGCATCTATTTCCTTTTAGAAAATACGAACCGCAAATATTCAAATCGAATGTTAGCGCGTAACTTCGGTTCCATCACAAACTTTTCCAAAAATAGTACGATACAAGCAAGCACCCAGGATTCGAGTTCTAACTCATGTTAAATTTGATATTCGTATCCAGAGTTATGCTAGAGCTAGGTGTTATTCATAATTTGTTCCTTGGAGTTGTTGAAAGTGATCAAGGTTGCCTGAGATTCCTAAATTAATAAAATTAAATCTTTACCGAGATTTTTTTTAAATGTAGCGGGGACCAGACGTGTCTTGAGAAAGTTTATTTAATTAAGCTAGCTGGACAGCTGTTTTGTGAGAGTGACCGTTTGCGATTGCACAAAGCAATCTATACAGTGCTGTTACATTTGCGGAACGTTATGTGTGCACCACCCTGTACATTCAAAGCAATTTTGCTAATTTAGTAAAAAAGTAAATTCCCTATCTCTACAAAAAGTGTGAAGAAAGTGTAGAATTTTGGGCATTAATTTATTTATTTTACAAAATGACTGAAAATAGTCTCAATGATACTACTGTAACACAAGAAAATGTTGAAAAGGCGGAAAGGTACAAAACCGAAGCAAACGAATATTTTAAAAGTAAGTCAATAAACGAAAATGTTTACATGTAATTGAAAGGAGGTATCTTTTGAAGAATACTTTTTTAAATCAAAATATATATGAGTTTTTAAATTAACTTATGAAATACTGTCCATTATCCTAGTCCATTTCACAACTTTATTGTTTTCCATGTGATTGTCCACCATAACCTACAAATTTTTAAATTTTAGACCAAGATTTTAATACGGCCATTAATTTATATACAAAAGCAATAGAATGTAACCCTAATATAGCTATTTATTATGGAAATCGTAGTTTCGCCTATCTCAAATCCGAATTTTTTGGATACGCTTTAACAGACGCATCGAAAGCAATCGAATTAGATCGATCGTATCTCAAAGGATTTTATAGGAGAGCTGCAGCACATATGTCACTAGGGAAATTCAAAGAGGCGTTGAAAGATTACGAATATGTAAGGACATTTTTTATTATTGACATCGACTGAGTTTTACACTTGTAGGTAACCAAAGCTAAACCAAATGATAAGGATGCGAAACTAAAGTACACAGAATGTAATAAAATTGTAAAAAAAATTGCTTTCGAAAAGGCAATATCCGTGGAGGATAATAAAAGAAATATCGCAGACACTATTGATTTAGATGCTATGGGTACGAACAATATCTGTTAATGTCCTCTTCAGATTAATTTTTAGCGATTGAGAATGATTATAACGGACCGGAGTTGGAAGATGGTAAAGTTACATTACAATTTATGAAGGATTTAATGGAACTTTACAAAAAGCAAGGCAAACTACATAGGAAATATGCGTACAAGGTGAATTTGTGAGTAGATTTCCTCATGTTGTGGTAAAACTCATTTTTTGCTAGATATTATTAGACATTAAAGCTTACTTTTCTGCACAACCGTCACTTGTCGATGTAAATATTGAAGATGACGATAAGTTTACAGTATGTGGCGATATTCATGGCCAGTTTTTCGATCTCATGAACATTTTCGAGCTAAATGGATTGCCTTCGCCAACTAATCCATATGTATCCTTATAAAAAGGTTTTAGATTATAGACATCTTTCCTTAACCTTTGTGTAGCTATTTAATGGGGACTTTGTGGATCGAGGTTCCTTTTCTGTTGAATGCATTTTTACATTATTCGGTTTTAAGTTATTATATCCAAATTATTTCTTTATGTCACGAGGTAATACATTTCAACTGGCCCCACATTTTTTATTAAGTCACATTTTAGGCAATCATGAGAGTGCTACAATGAACCAAATGTATGGTTTCGAAGGGGAGGTTAAAGCCAAATATACTGCGCAAATGGCAGACTTATTCACTGAAGTATATAATTGGTTACCTTTAGCGCATTGTTTAAATAATAGGGTGCTGGTAAGTTTTATACTCGGTTTTATGTAAATTTAAAACAAAAAAGGGGCAATACGTTCTACATCCCAATCGATTAATTAATAGTACTAACTTTTAGTACAATACTTACACCTTCTAAAGTCTACATTTTTAAATAAAGACAAACAATTAAAATTTTATTTTATTAGGTAATGCATGGCGGACTATTCAACAGAGATGATGTTACATTGGCGGATATCCGTGCAATAGAACGTAACAGACAACCGCCCGAAGACGGCCTCATGTGCGAGTTGCTGTGGTCAGATCCCATGCCTCAAAATGGCAGAACGACCAGCAAGCGAGGTGTCGGTTGTCAGTTTGGGCCGGATATAACAAAAAAATTCTTAGCGCAAAACAAATTGGATTACATAATAAGAAGTCACGAAGTAAAAAATGATGGTTACGAAATAGCGCATGATAATAAATGCATTACCGTTTTTTCTGCACCTAACTATTGGTATTATTTAAAACAAAAACTAAAGAAGATTATTCATTCGATTGTTACAGTGATACTATGGGGAACAAAGGGGCATTCATTACACTTAAGGGAAAAGATATGATACCTAAATATACAACTTATGATGCTGTGGTAAGTTATGATCCCTTATTAATGTTAATGTCTGATTGATCTGATTTTTTCAGCCCCATCCAAACGTTAAACCAATGGCGTATGCTAATTCGTTACTAAGTCTAATGTGCTAGTACTCGGATCGGTAGGTCTGTAGAATAATTTTATCAGTACAGGTATCTGAAGGTCTATATAAATAGCTTTACTTTTAAGTAGGTAATTCAATAACCATCCACTCTCATCAAGGCGTAGTAATTAATTGATTGTTATGTTTGTTATCTCATTGTAAGGCGGTCATTTTACTCGTCATTTTTTTAATTCTACAATGTACAATTACATGGAAATAAAATGATATTTTAATTTAATTTGCGATCTAATTATTATTCAGTCATAATTCGTGTATCAATCAGTCTAATTGTCAATAATTCTACTTGTAGAAAATGTTTGCTATCATGTATTTTTATAGAAGTAATGATATCTATACTATCTAGTTAGGTCAATATATTTTATTAAAAATCAGTTTCTTTAATTTTGATATTAATGGTTCCTGAACATGTACCAGGGTTTAAGATAAGTGAAGTATTTCAAATGTGCATGACCAATGATATTTCACCTAATGAACACATACCTGGACACCCGGTATTGGAGGTACTCCAAACTATTAATTAAATAACATGATAGGGATGAAGAGTTAAGGTGCAATTTGTTGTCCGTAATGAAATATAATAAAAGAACACCCTGTATATGCTGAATTTTCAGATTTTCTTATTTCATATATCGATCACCTGCGTGCTTTTCTTTCTTTCAGGAACATTATTTTAATTTTTCATTTCATGTGTTTCAGAATAATATTTGTCATTGTCAATCAATTAATTGTGTTTATTAGAATCCTTATTTGTGCAATCTGGATCGAGTTTTCATGTCGGATATTTCTCCTTGTGTCCAACAGTTGTGTCAGGTGTTGATGTAGTTAATCCTTTTGAATTTTCGGAAGTTGATCAAGGCTATTGAGTCTCCCATCATTAATTCAGGTGTTTTGTGGGTGGTGTAATTGAGCATACCATTACATACAGCAGTATATTGAAATTGATAGCACCCCTTAAGGGAACATAATTCCAAACACTTTCAGCAATACTACTTCTTATTTATTACTCAAATTTTTGTCTGACCAAGATTACGTTTGCCCAAAACACTGGTATGAGCTTAACTACAAACTATTGTACGTGCTCCTTCATTTGATAAAATAAAGGAGCGTGTACAATGTTATTCTTACTTTAATACCTATACTTGATCATAATCCAGCAGTGACCTGTATTCCAAAATTGCAAGGCATGTTTAAATAATCAGTGTTTATTCAAACTTTACACTGTTAAAAACTGTCACAATTACACTTTTTTCAATAAATTACAAATTCAATAAAATTATAAATAAATAAAAACACTGTCATTAGTAAAATTTAAAGTTTGGAACTTAGTAACACAGTTCGCGATGGCTGCAGCTTATCGACTCGTAGTTCGGCATCTAAATATACCTCTGCAACATATCCAATAAGACATTGTCAAAATATTGATGATACTCAACCTATTTTACAGCATAAATTAATCAACTGTTCCATGTTTACATTCCAAAAGGTGTCATCGTCTCTGCAAATTAGTATACATTATTGTACAGAGTTGCCTAAAGCAAACTCTTGTCACTGAATCAATTTCTACTTTTTACTGAAGAAACAATGCAAAATTGACGTGATTTTACACGTGAACTTACACTTTTTCCTTACGAATGATTTCCATAGATGTTAAACTAGAAAATGCATTTGCTATTGTATCCAAGTTCAAACAATATGGGTGGATAAAACACTTCCGAACAGCTATGAGTTTTTCAATTTGTGATTGAACAGTAGCGGCGGCAGTCTTTTCGTTGACCATCCCGTCACTCTAAAAAGCGACGAATTACTTTACAAATTCCCATTATTATATTACATACTTGCAGAAGTAAGTTACAAATGGTATAGTACGTAAATAAGAACGGGGTAAAATTATTCCTCAAAAACATTTGTAGCTTATTACTGTCGGATAAATAATAACCGGAACTATCACAGTGTATCAATGCTACGTTTGCTAAGTCTTGCAGTAGTTCTTCAAACTTCTACGACATTCCGTGGGTAAAAAATCGTTACAATAATCATTACATACCGAATTGCTTCCAGTATTACATGAAACAAATTCGTGTGAAAATAATGTTTGCAAAAACGTGTATTGAGTAAAAAGATTATCTAAAATGGAAGACCGAGTATCGTAACAGTATATCTTGAATGTAATTACCTTTATTAATCAATTTGTGATGCTGTAAGATGATGATTATCATGGCTGACTGAGATATATAGTGCAGAGCAGGATTAACATACAACTGAAGCATAACGAAAGGAAGGATGGAATTCATAGTATCTTGGGATAGTGCATGCCCTCTAAGCTTTGAAGAATCTATGCTCTTTAATGCAACACAATGGTCAACCAATTTAACAGTCTTCTCACTGGTGATTTCAATCAAGTGTTTATGCACTTTTAAACCACTTTGAATGTCCACACTATCTAATTCAGTGTGCGCGCCAAAATGAATCAGATAATCGTTAATCCAACTCACGTCCTCTACAAGATCCTCCACTTTCATTCCCTTACACCCCATGGCATAATTATTTGTCAAAGCTAACGCAATTATATTGAACGTTGTAATTACAGAACACTTCTGCTGATTGATAACAATTTCGTTAGCTAACTTGGCAGTCAAACTTTTCTCTTGCTCTGTAAACTCTTGCAAGTGAATTGGCCGTATGTTGTGAAGCGCCCTGTTAACTACGCCACCAAAAAACTCACGCCCAGAAATTGGGTCACCAAAATCAACATAGAGATTTCCATAATTTTCCTTCATAATGCTCAATGACTTGAAGAAACCCTAAATTTTGCACTGCAGTCTTACTCAGGACATGGATCGATGGTTACTTACAGAGGTACTTTCTTTAGGTTTCGGCACGCCAAGTAATTCATAAGCGAATAACTTCTCCTCAAGCACACGATCGTAGCTGATGTTGATAGGAATGAATAATATGTCGGGGATACCTGCAGTGAAGAACGGTTTTAGCACCATCGACAGCAATCCTAAAAAATGTAGAGTATTAAAATTGAAATCATTGGGCAGATAAATTTAAAACTGGTTAAATGCAAGCTTAATTTCTCTGAGGGTGTTTGAGTGATGCATATTTTTTTGTTATTTGTAACATTTTCAATTAACTAAGTACATGCGAAATTAGATCACTCACTAGTAGGCTGAGGACACTAACAGAAATAAATTCTCCGAGTCAAAAGTGATCGTCCAAAAAAATCGAGTTTCGTAGCGAAACAAATAGCCTGAGTAAAATTAGATATATCGGAGTAATTTACAAGATCATTAATCTTTTTTAAAGTATAGCTTATTAAAGAAGGGATAGCAACGACCTCTGACGGCGAAACAAAGAACTATCGTAATAAGAAATCTATAAAACGTGGATGACCTCTTAATGGCAAAATAAAGAACCAAGTAAGATAACTCTACTACACGAATAATTTACATCTCATTAAACTAATGGATTACAAAGGAAATACCTACATTTTCCGCTATCAAAAAGATGATGGTTGAACCTTAACTATGTAAGATATGTAGTTTTACATGCCAGAAACATGGATGGTTTTATTACTGGAGATTATTGCAAGGTTTGTTTTCTTACAGCATGGTTTATGCGTAGTAATACTTTAAGTATTGAGACTAAAAATTTGTTATTTCAGAAACAAATTTTCAAAATGGTATGCTGCTGATGAGAGATGGCATTAGAAAATTGACAGGTGGTACTACCATTGCGTTTTTAATTCCATCGAAAATATATGGGAAATTTGCAAACAACATTATATTATACTTTATATTATAACAGACATATTGGCGAGAAAGGTTATGGCAGAGAAAATCGTTTAGATATGTGGCAACAAGCCATTGTTGCAGTTTTACATGATATGTGGAAACGCACTGTAGTCCACCTTGTTAGTAAAAGATCATGACATACACAACCTGTTACAAATACCTATCGAAACATGTTTTTAGTAATTGGTCAATAGAAGCCGTTGATGTAATGGGTATCCTACCCACAATGTAACACTGTCTGTATGGTTGCCTACATATTCTCTTCGACTGACTACATGATGCTATGTAAACATACTTTGTGATGACGTCATAATACACCGGTTACGTGCATGCAAAGGCAAACTAAATATACCTTACTACACGCAGACACTTGGCGACGCCACCTTCGCCAAGTGTCACCATCCCTTATTTTATAATATGGGCAGGCAGTCACACTGGCGGCGGTGGAGCCAGAGATTGTTTATTTAATACCCAGCAACCATTCTTGGCCACCAGTGGTGTATTGTCTGGTTGCTGGGCAGTCACTGATCAGACAACAAACTCTGGCGAAGCCACTGATGTCCCTAGTGTAATAAGCTCCGTAAGAATAAGTGCCCAGTAAGTAGTCAGTCCACCAGTGGCGTCCCAGGTATCGTCGTCTAATAAGGCACTAACTTTTGCAAAACTACATACCCCCTACTTGTGCCATCTATAAATATTAAATTTACTGTTTCTACAGACTACATGCCCCACCATTCTATTCTTTACATTATACCCTTACTAACAGGAAGATATTTACCAAGCTTGGGAACTAAGAATTTTCCACTACGACTCCGTGTACCCTCAACAAAAAACTCTAACGGTAAATCACCTTCCGTTATTATCTGGTGTATATATTGACGGAAAGTATCCCAATACAAATGGTCGTTATTAAAAGATCGTCTCATAAAAAAAGCACCAGTATCCCGTAACACACTTCCCATCACCCACATACTATAAAAATCTGAAACAATAAAACTACAGACTAGGAATGGCCCTTAGCAGACCTACCCATTCCAGCCGCAATTGCAGGTATTTCAATGTTGTATGTGAAACAGAGATAAGACATAACAATAAAATCTGCGTAGCTTCTGTGGGTTGGGAGGAATACAACCGGCTTGTTGCCCATTTGTTCCTTTATCTTCAGAAGTTTCTCCTCGTTTACTTTAATCCCCGAGTAAACTTGTAGGCCAATTTTGGTTAGTAAAAATCCCAGCCACCTGATTATACTCAAGCGCTTGTTGAAGCCGATCTCGTTCAGTATCGTCCAAACGTTGTTAGCAAGTTTGCCCTTTTGCAAGCCGGTCTCTCGTGAGATCTAAAAGATTCAAAATTTACTTAAGGTTACAGTTGAGGAAGCATACTCGATCGATTATCTCTTGAATCTTAACGCTTCTTAGTACTTCCTCTTTGTGAAAGTTTGGGGTAGGTTTAATTAAACGTTCATAAGCAGCCTTAGGGTCCAAGTGTCGAGAAATCCACATAAAATTACTATATTCTGTTCTTCTGTCTGTTAGTATATCTTTAAAAGATTGCAAATATTTGGACGTCATGATGATTTTCAAATAGTTAACAATTTAAAGCGACACTCATTTCAAATTTGTTTATAAACACAGCATTTGTTTACACACATTTATAAAAAATTAGACAAAAAATGCCGGACCGGCAATAACCGTTGTCGTTAATGCGCAAACGCGATCCGGTTATGAAAATCGAAGAGTGAGAGGTTTATACAGGGTGTTGAGTGTTGACGCCCCAATGATAAACTCAGGTCACTTTCAAATTAGTGCAATTTCATTAGTCACCTGCTAGAATAACTTTATGTTTACAAACCTATCTCACTTACACTCGCCATTGGTAAATTAAATTAAATATTGTACAGATTGTATGATAAAAGTACTACAGTAGTTGGATTGTATATTTGTATTCTGTATGACATTTGCCTTTATCATAACCTCATTATTTAACATTTTGGCGGTTTTTTGCTAACTTTTTAATGTAGAATATATAAATTATAATTACCGTTTTTAATTATTTTAGTAGGATGTGATATCGTATGTGAGCAATTCATTTTATATTGAGTTGAGTGTTGTCTTTACAGAAAAGTCGGGTACATGTCCGATTTCAAGATGCAGGAACTTAACACTGAGGAGTCCTTACCAATGGATCATAGTACTGACGCACCTAGTGAGGAAAATAATCCAAATGTGATAAATGTGGAAGTAAGCAATGGTGTAAACAAATTGATTGAAAAAGAAGGCAATGATGTATGCCCTGCCGTTGATGTTGAACATAAACAATACGACAATGAAAATGGTCCAATTAATAATGCCTCGAATAATGTACATGTGGATGGATCTGTGGCTAGGAAGAGTAGAATTTCAAAAAAGTTAAGGAGAATTGCTATCGCTGACAGTGATTCGGAAACAGATACAGTTGACACAGTCTTGAGAAATTCTGATGAAGAGAATTCTTCAAAGGTAGAAGACATTGACGAAAAATCCTTATCACAAAACGAAGTTGTAGAAAATAGTATTAAAAAAAGGCGTGCTATAATTGACAGTGATTCTGATGAGACTGAAAGTGTTGATCATAAAGAAACTAGTAGATCAAAGCTTATTATAGATAGTGATTCGGACGGAGAAACATTTAATACGAATAATGTACATACAGACACTGTTGAGGGTTCTGCTTTATTTGATGTAAGTAAACTCCCTGTATATACAATATGAACGGAGTATATTTAAAATATTTGATATTTTTGAGCAGACATCCCGTATAGCAGCTCTATGCGATTCTGAAAGTTCTGAAGATGAACGTGAAATGGCCTATTCAGAAAATATCAAAAGCATGCAGAACACTAAAAAGAAATCAGTTGTGCGTCCCAAAAAAGAAAGACCACCAAAGGTAAGTAACAACAACTTGTAACTTCATATTTTAATATCCCATTGTTTTAGAGAATGACTGCAAAAGATGCAATAAAGCAACGGCAAGAGATCGCGTCGGAATCACAAAGAATGCTGAGAGAAATGCCACTGGCACTTCCATATCACAGGCCTAAGGAGCGTTCCATGGAAGAGTTCTTTAAAAATCGACCTCGATTATCTATTATAAAAAAGAAACCTAATCTGCCAGTCTCTGCTGCCATGAAAATGACCACTGAAGAATTCAAAGCTGTTGTGTAAGTCTAATTACCTATGCGGCAAAGTAACTGAACAAGAAAGTCTCCGTTAAAAAAAATATTAAAGCCGCACTCGTGTTGTTGTTTAAAGTGTGAAGGTAACATGTTGTATCAGGTGATTGCTTTAGGCTCAAATTACTTGTGTAGGAAATTTTATACGTGTACTGCTTCATAATGAAAGAGAACAGAACTTAAATTTGAGAAAATAAAGTGTTTTAAGATTTGATAATTATGTAAAAAATAATTCTTAGCCATTTCTACAGATATAAAGAAGTTACGGTTGGATGAATGATGTTGATTTCTTTTACATACTAATGATAGGTACTGCCAATGACTTGACAGTGTAATATGATAATCTAGCTAGCTCCCCTACTATGAGGGGCAATTTCCGCTATACTTACCTATGTATAAAAAACCTCGCGAATGCGTTGGTTGCGATGGTTCCTTATCAGAACTTTCATTCGGCGCCTACTTAAGTAAAAATCTAGTGAGAAAGCGGCATACTTACTTTCCAACAGAATAGAACAAAATCCTTGAATGAAACAAAAGCTTACAAACGAGCTTACAAAGCTTGTTTGGACATATTACTCCGCAACAGGCGGTCGACAAATAAAATTAGAAATCCTAACAACTTCATTTTTTCTTTTTGATCTACATAATCTCGTCGCACAAAATTTGCTATTTCAGGCGTACCAAACCCACACAAACGCTGATAACTTCGCTTTGCTTTATAACACAGAATCAGATGACAAACAAAACCGACTTGACGAATAAGCTGAAAAAATTTTCGGTGGCTGTTCATATGGTAGACACTTCAAACTTTCAATAAGAAGAGAACCTCTGCAAAAGGCCTTACTGTACTACACTGCTTCCATTTTTAACTCGATAAACTTTTTCCGAGATCGAACAATACTCGTTTAACTTCTTACACCACTTTGGTTAACTTTCTTCTGCACAATTTTTTTATAAAAATGTAAGTAAACAAATAGGTCTAACTAACTCCGTTAACAAATGTACGCGTTCTCTTAACCGTCGCGAAACCAGTAGCCTCGTTTTTACATTGACTCTAGTATTTAAGGAAACCACCTCCACCATAAAATAAACTCATTTAAAAATTTTCAAATAAATCAACAATGGAACGTTCCATACGTCCTCACTTCTCCAGATGAAACGCGCAGGCGCAACACCTTAACCCTTAACAGCGATAAAGCACGTGCGTTAATTAATTTTCGCCTGATAAAACTCCTTATCGCTAACGACCAGCTGTGTCTTACTTCTAACACCTTATCTAAACTGAATAAATTACCGAAGTAAATTACGCATTTACAAAATTTCTGAAAGGAAAAACAACACTTAGACACAAATTCAAATGAAACGAATCAACTCTGTGCTTATTTCGTAAATAATCCCCCAGACTTACTGAACATGTAAATTTACATGTGTTTTTAGGAGTTGACATTTTTGAGTTCATCATTTATCACTAGAAATACCCTTAAATTCATATACTAAAATACCGTGGTGATTTCCCCCTCGCACATTCCTAAACAGGAGTGGTAAAAATTAAGTATGGTGGAGACATAAACCCAATTTCAGTGATCTAGATTTCAAACTCATCTGGATCACAGCGATTTGTCGAATTATTAGGCATGCTGCCTTCCAGATTTTTGTGGTTGCACTAATTCATTTTATACAAGACCCTTAAAATTATACTATATTGCTTACACAAATTTTTGTTGACATCGCCCTTTTAACTCTTGTCACGGCTTAGTTACATTTACAGGAGCCGAAGACCTCACTTGCAAAGAGAGAATTAAGCGGATGTAACTGGCTTTGTTACATTTACAAGGCTTGAAGATCCCTCTTGCATCAAATAAAATTGAACCTCTACAGCACTGGAAAGAATTCTAATATGACAATGTTTGATTTATTTACCGCTAGCTCAGTAATAAAACAAATTTTGCTACGGGTACCCGGCTCGTCATTACATACTTTCGTTCATGTTCGCTATGAAGCGGTACATGTGGAAAATACGAATTTAAAAAAATCCTTTTTTAATTCTAAAGCGACGACCCGTTACACTACATGCAAGCAACAGTTTTGTTTGGGTATTTCAGATGCTATGTGTCAATAGTTCCTATTTCCAGTAATCAATAACAATGTTTTTGCATATTTTAACGAAGGTGTAGTTACGATGCGGTAGTCCGGATTGATGCGCTTTTGACGAGTCTGAAATTATAGAGTTTTTACTGTATCTGGGGTTTTGTACATGACGATAACGAATTCAAACTTTTTGGAAATGCTATAGAATCTATACAATATTTGATTACCTATACTCCCAATTTTGCTTGTGATACAATTAAATTTAATCGTTGTTGGTAGGTTTACTACAAAGTGGCATACATTTTTGGCTTTTGGAGTGGTAATACTTTTACCTGTCAATTTAAAAATATATTTTATAGAAATTAATTGCTCATTTTTATTAGGAAAGAAATGGAAGACAGAGAGAAAGAGGTAGAAAAATTTTATAAGTCCGACTCTGAAGAAGAGCAGGAGGAAAATATTGCACTAGCAAGTGTGGATGATAACATTGATAATGAAAATCATCATACTCCAGAGAAGACGGACAGTGTAACACCACCAACTGCCACCATTTCTAATCCTGCAGATGATTGCGTTAATTTACCAAACAACCTTTCACAGTCCAATGATTGTGATAATGTGAATGAAACTGAAACTATCAACATGAAAACCGTAGAAGAGGCGCACAAGGACTGTGTGGGTGTGGTTGAAGTGGATGAATGTATGAGTACAACACAAGATTTCTTTGAAAACAACTGCATCAATGATGAAAACAAAGAGGACAGTAAAGTGGTAGAAGATTTGGTGATGGAAACTTCACAGACCCACTCCGATATGAATGATAGTACTGAGGCAAGAAGTGAAGACTGTGAGGTGAATCCGTGTGAAGAAAGAGAAAAGGGAGACTCTGATCATAGCATTGCTCATGATTTGGAGAATCTTTCGTGTGAACACCCTGTACAAAATGACACTTGTGCACCTTCAGTCCAAAATAAAATTATAATACACTCTATTGTGACTATTCCAAATGTAACTAATGCGACGGAGGAATCGGTAGACTACGATTTTAATTTAGACGGCCTTGATGAAAATATTGAAAATGGCGAAGACGCTCGGCTTCAGACTTTGATAAATAAGTATGCGAGCACCGATGCGAAATGCGACTCAAATCAAAAAATGACCTTTAAACAGCAACTATTCAAAGAACTGGGAAATCGCCGGCCTGCTCTCAGCGGCGATCCCGACCAGGAAATCGATTTCGATGATGGAATAATGAGACCTAATCCAGTATGCCAACTGAAAGACCGATTCATGAAACTTCAGGCACCAAGGAAGGCTAAACGAGAGACAATGAAATTGGAGTAAGCTTACCTAGGGTACCGTAGTAAAATTAACAATTTTTTTGCAGTATAGTAAATTTATCGCAAGGAGAGGTACAGAAGGAAATAGTTACTATAACGGTGGATGATAATAAAGAAAGTGAAATGCCATCAAAGCCAGGGGTCCGCCTACAAATGCTGAGGAACGAACTTCAGGAGAAGATAGCCAAAGAAAAGGCAGAAACGTGGAAAAATAAAGATGTCACTTTGTCGCAGCTTGATGAAAATGCCGACGATATGGGTGAGTTGCGGTCTACTCTTTTAGTACATTTAGAATATTTGTGTAGGTGAAACTTCTTGCAAAGACGGTTATGAAGCTGATGAAGAGATTTTGGATGATGAGGAAGAAGAGGAGGAGACGGATGAAGAAACTGATGATGAGATCGAACAGGTCGAAAAAGTTAGGAAGAAATCTGCTTTTGTTGATGATGAGGTACTAATTTTCTCCATCGATGTAGACATACATTTGTTGTGTTGCAGGCTGAAGTGACTGATGAAGATGAATGTGATGATGCAAGTTCTGGTAGAAGCTCCAAAATGTCCGTTCAAGTAGATGAAGACAATTCAAATACTGGAGAGGGGCTACCAGAACCTAAGAAACGAACAAGTAGAATTCTGAAAGGGTTCGCAGAAGATTCAGATAATGACAGTGTGGACGATTTAAAACCATCAGTGAAAGTAGCTGATACATGTAATATTGAAACTGAAAGTGTCTCTGATGTTTGTAAGTATCATCGACTAACCCACACCTTCCTACTTACAATGAAACAGATGGTGGTTAGTTAGCAGAAAGGTTACTACAATATTAGTATTGAAAGGGCTGTAAAATTGGACTAATGTCTGGATTATGTACCAGACTTTTTAGCGCATTTTCCAACCAAGTTGGGTGCGTTATTGCAGCCACTTTCTTTGTTTGTCCATCTGTCCGAGGCCTTAACTACTACTGTTTTCAAGATATTTAATTCGCTCTTTTTGCATTCAGTAGCGTATACTTCTAGCACCTGAGCCAAGGAAAATCTTAACAATTAAACTGTGCAATGTCAACTTTTTTATTTATTAATATATTTTGTTGAAATTTTAACACAGATACTTCTGGTGAAGGCAAATATATCGTATATAGTGAAAATCAGTTGTGCGCATGCGCAGACTGCGCAATGGCATGGAGGTATGTCTGAAATTTTACCTAAAGATGCTTTTAGTGTAAGCAAACGTATGGCATATTTTAAACATCAGATTAATGCGCAGGATGCGCAGATCAACTGTTATTTATCGAGATATCTTTTTGAAATTTTAATCACAGTTCTTCTGTTAAAGGTAAACATAACTGAAATTGCAAAAATTAGATGTACGCATGCGCAGTCAGTGTCAACTTCATTATTTATCAAGATATTTCTTTGAAATTTTAACCATAGATGCTTCTAGTAAAGAAAAACATCACATATAGTAAAAATCGAAAACTACAAATGTCATTAGGAAAAGCAAACATAGCGCACATAGTAAAAATCAAATGTTGTTTCAGGTTAATCTTTCTATATATTAATTAAATTGGGTGTGGTTTTTGTTATATAATTATATTAATATGCCTGGGTTGCTCATCGGCTAATAATCCTCTTATTAAATTATGAAAGGGTTCTTATTTTCTTTATGTCATACCTACTTGATCATTATTCAGTTATAATAATCCTAAATCAAGATACATTAAATGACAAATAATGCACTCCGCCATGACAACCCCAATTATGCGTAGCAACGGGCGTTATTTCTATAACGCCCAAGGGCGTTATTTCTGTAAATCCTATAAATATGGAGTAATCTGAGTATTGAATCTGTACGAACTTTTTATTTTCAACAACTCAATAAAAAGAAATGTGTTGATGTCGCATTATCCTACTGCTATTCTTTGAAGTAAAAAGAACAATTCTGGAACTGCACAAATTTTTCGAAACTCTTAATCTTCTTCTTTACCATTAACTCTTTACGTAGCATAGAAAATTTCGTCCAAAGCGAATTGGGAGAAAATGACTCTGACTGTAAATCACCTTTCCATTTAATGACTAATAAAATTACTTACCAACTCTTGGAAGTAACCCAACATAACGGTTTCGTTTATTGTCTCCACAGAATTACTCACCATCCATTTTTCAAAAGTAACGTACTCTTTTTCATAAGAGGATTTCGATTTTTGTGGCACTATGGCTTCATTCGCTTTTGCGGCTCGCGCAAGAACGTGTGCCGGTAAATGAGACGCTTCGTCTGCCATTTTTCAGAAAATTTTTAGAATGTTTGACAAATATAATATCTATCTCCATGGATAACTTAATTTTGATCATATTTTGATGATTCTCATTACCTTTTCCTTTAATCATCTGTCACCGCCAATTCTTGGAAAATCATCAAGTATGACATAAAACGTTGAAGGCATCACAGGCGTTATGAACACAACGCCCACGGTCAACGTATAACCCTCGGGCCGGAGGCCCTCGGGTTCTACACTGTTGACCTGGGGCGTTATTTAGTTCATAACGCCCTTGATACCTTAATAACTATAAAGAATTGTCTTTGCTGTAATAAAACTGTAAGGCACATGGTTAAAGCACATTCATTCTCAAAAATATACTTCGCATTGGTAGGAACTATTCAGTTTTATTTATAACTGAAATAATAATGAATGGCCGTTAGGTGCTGAAGGAAAAATTGATTGTCTCTTATAAACACCTGGTACAACAGAAACAAAGCGAAGTGCGATATGGTAATATGTAAAGCTGTGAATTATATGCACGAAAAAATTGTAAAATATGCGCATATATATGCATCAAATTAGTGCAAAATATGCAAACCGTTTTGATATATATGCAAGCATATGCAAAATTATATCTTACATAAATTGCAAGAAAAAAAGAAATAACGTGGTTTTATTTAACAATTTAATTAAATCGGATGCCTTAATATACAATTTTAGCAACTTTTACAAGGTAGCGTCATTTAAATTGATGGTAATATTACTATTAACACTAACAATAATGTGTTTTTCTAAGTTTTCTGCAAGAAATGATTGCCTCCTGTCGCTAAGAATTAATTTATAAGCAGAGAAACTTCTCTCTACATCAACAGAAGTAATAGGTGCATTTGAAAGGGCCGACAAAATATTGGGATCAATTTCCAAACCTTCCACAATATCACCCATCAAGACCATCGAGACATTTTTTAATATTTGATATCCGTTATTTTTACTTAAAGTGTCATTTAGTTTTTTTGAAATACATTTGCCAATTTTACCCTTTAAACTATTCATAGTTTTTTTGAAATTTTCTATTAGATTTATGGCATCAATTAACAAAACGTCTTGCTTTTCCAGTTCTAAAAATAGTTTGGGAAATATAGAAAAATTATTCTTAATGTATGCTAACTGTTGACTTAACTGAGGATTGGCGGCTAATTGATTTGATTCACTAATAGCCGCCGATGAGTCCTCTGATGATAACTCTGTAAGTACTTTTTTAATACTCTCGAAATGTTGCGCATAAAATAAAGCCGCTTCCACCCATGTCCCCCATCTAGTAAGAATAGGTTTTGGAGGCAAAGGGATTCCCGGCAGCATTTCCTTGTATAACTGCACTCGTAAAGGCGCTTTCACAAACACCTTTTTTACATTATTAATGAAATCATTAACAACTGGAAACTGATTTCTTACTTCTTCTGCAACCCTATTTACGCCATGTGCCAAACATGTATTGTGAATTAAATTAGGATAAAAGATTTTTAAATTTTGTGCCGCTTTAATCATGTATGGTGCTGCATCAGAAAGCATCAAAACTATTTTATCATGCGGCACAGCTTTTGGTAAAAACAAATTACTTAACCCTTCTACAATGAATCTCGAAATGGTTTCATTATTGGTTTTCTCTATGTGTTTGCAACTTATTAAAAACGATTTATTAGAACTGCTTTCGCCTAAAACACCTACCATTAAATTAGCTATATATCTACCACACACGTCAGTTGTTTCGTCAACTACAAAAAATAAGAAACGATTTTGTACCGTTTGTCTTATATTGTTCATAGTTTCTGTGTAGCATTCACTTACATATCTTTTTCTAAGGGTGGATTGATCAGGAACACTTTTTTTACAGTATTTTTCCAGAAAACTTTTAAACTGGGGATTACTTAGTTTATTTAACGGCACGTTTGCGGACATAAAAGCACTGCACAAGTCAAACTTAAACTGTTCTTCCTCAGATCGTACAGCTGTCCGTAGTACGGTTTCCTGGAGAGACGCTTGGCGAAGTCCAGATGAAATTGATTTTTCGCGATTCCTTTTATGTAAAGGCGTGGAACAATGTTGATCGATCAAGTACTTCCTCCCACATGATATCTGCGTAAAAATACAATAAGTAGGACGCTACATTAAATTTGCGTTAGATAGGCACTTAAAAATCATATTAAATGGTTAAAAAAAGGATAGAAAGTAGCATAAATAAGAACTATACAAGAATAAAACTAAGAGAATTTAACTTTCAGAATACTGGAAATTGAATTAACAGATTTAGTAAATAAGCTACTTACCGATTTTCCACAAGGTTTACAAAACACGGAGTTGTTATTTAATGTCAATTCCGGATACGGTTTTACCCAAGAAATAATTTTTGACATGATACACTCAAATTTTATAAAATATAACTCAATATCTCGTATAAATTCTGTAATTACGTGAAATGTGTTTATTACACGAACGTCTCTTTACAATTGGATGTGATGCAGAAAGTAAACTTCATTTAAAAATATTTTACTGGCTAAATGTGCAATCCCGTTAATATCCTGCTCATTGATGGGGCATTAAAAGGTAGTTGAACAATGAAAAGGATTACTAACAACTGTATTTATTTGTATTACTAAATCCATTCATCAAAAGCTTACAGGAATTTTATATTTTAAGATGTGGATAAATTCTTAGAGTTAGGTACCTACTTAGGTACGTAAACAAGTTGTTGAGGACCAACATTAAGTTTCTATAGGTAGATGACTAATATCTTGTTTTTTTTGGACTTTACTTAATCCTATTGTAAAATTAAAGGGTATAGGTACCAAGTGTAGGTATAGATCTTCTTTCCCCCGATTGCAGTTTGTTTCATTATCGCGCCCGTTATGAAAATCCGCATAAACGTAGTAAAAATTCAAATGAAAATCGATTAAAATCAGCACAAAGGTGTAAAATTACCTAAAAATTAACATGCATCTTAAAATATGCAAGTTTATACTGTAAATGCAAAAAATATTAAAATATGCAAGATATGCAAAAATAAATTGGGTTTAATCGCTTCAAAATGTTGCAAATCGAAAATGTACAAAATCTGGTACGAGTACAACCAAAAATACACGATATGCATTTTGCATATATTCACAGCTTTAGTAATATGTTACTTTACAAGCAATAGGGGTTCATAAAAACACTGACTTAATGCAAATCGCAAGTAGGTAGTTAAGTCGCCTTTATAGTACCTATACAGTAGTATCCATTTAGAAGTAGACATGGGGATTTGTGGGAATTGTTTTCTCTATGTCCACTTTTAAATGACAAAAACTCTTCTGAAGGACGGCTAAATTTATGCAACCAAAATAAGTGGAAACAAATGAAGATCTGGCTGTCATATTAATTAATTGGATTCTGTATTTTTATCTTAGATTGTGTGCGAAACAAAAGTTGATATTGTTGATTGGTATAGTGCCGGTAATAGTTTAAGGAGCATAAGAGACTTATTTTCTGTGTTGATCTCTTTAACATTAGTGATGCACATAAGGCACCGTAAACAACCCCAAGTTTTAATGGAGGATATGAAACTTAACATTTTATTTTTTATGGAAGAGAATTCCATAAAAAACTTAATTGGAAATAGGGGCCGAGTTCATTGGCCCGTATGAATAAAAATAAGCAAATGCTTATACTTGCAAAATTCAAAGTAAATACTCGTAACTGCCCCTTCATGCTGGTCTGTTTAGCAGCACTGCACTGCGTCCTGTCCTGCTGCTCAGCAGCGCTGCTAAGTCGCCCAGTGCGAAGGAGCACTTACGAGTATTTACTTTGAATTTTGCAAGTATAAGCATTTGCTTACTTTTATTCATACGGGCCATTATCTCATCATAACCTAAAAGCTTAGTATTTACTGTCGTTTTTATTAAAATCCAGAATGTCAGTGCAGAATGCCTGCGCATGTTATTTTGGTTCCATAAAATTAGGCGTCTGTCAGGTTTTTGTCATTTAAAAGTAGACACAGAAAATCGCTAGTCTACTTCTAAATGAATAACACTGTATATAATTTATATCGTTGGACCAAAATGCCTACGACCCTATTTCATAAATTATACTATGATGTAAGTAAGTTCAAATATACAATGAGGCAAACGACGTTGAACAGTGTCAAAATTACAATGTGAAAGAACTAATGTTCATAAATACCTTTATTGTACGTGCACTAGGAGTTCTTTAGATGCTTTTTGATTGCTGCTTTGATGTCCGCCCCCTTGACTTGGTTATTGACTTGCCTCAAACCGAGTATACATACACAAAAGCAGTACTTATTACCTTATGCTATTTACATCTGAGATAAAAATGCATTTCTAACCGCGCTCGTTACTTTATATTGCTAATTCCCTTGTAGCTTCCTTACGGTTAAATAAAATACCAACTTGTTGGGTTATAATAAATGAAACAATTAATTTCCTTGCAATGCAAAAATACACATACATTTGTACGCTCAAGATTACATTCGTACCTAAATTTAGATTCTGCCTTCCTTCAAGTTTCTGTGTAGGGAAACCCCGTTACAATTAGTACTCCACGCTTGAATCATTGATATTGGCTAGCTTACAGTGTCTAAAAAATATGCCTACAATTGAATGTAGGTTTTTTAGCGTCGAGGTTTAAACAAGACGCAAGTCCCGCCAGGGTACGCGTCTTCGTTCAAAAACTCGACGCTAACCAAGATGCTGCGGGCGGCATCCATTGAACCTAATGTGAGGCCTGTATGGAGAGAGATCAGCTTCCAGGCTTTTTAATACAGAATTTATGCCGATCCCTTCACAGCTTCTGTAGTAAAACAATATCGGACTTATTTGGTCATGTGTTTCGTTGTGTATTGTGAATACATACATTGGATAAAGCAAGGGAATGCGTCAAGTTGTAAAAAGCTGATTTTGAGGTCATATTTACAGACACTTCATTGATACTTTCCTACTAAAAGCGCTTCATAATATTTCTTTTCTTGCAAACAAGCCTTTGAATGTTGAAGGTTAGGTCCATAAATCAGATGGGCTTGAAAGGTATGGCAAATCTCTCAGAATCTGTCCTTTGCACAGCTTCCTAGATCTTTTTCAGAGCATTCTAGACGTCTTTCTGAGCCTTCTTCAGAGATGGACGAGCGCGTGGAACTGGCCAGACGGCTTTGGAAAGTCTGCTAAAAGCTGCAGGAAAGTGATAGGATGCTCTGGAAAGTTACGTATAGCTTTGAAGGGTATCTAAGAGGCTCTTCGGATGCTCTGTAAAAGACCAGTCTCATCTCAATCATTTACAGAGTATTTTTTTACCCCATTTGTTGTATCGTGTTCGGAAATTCCGAAATTCTTAACGTCCCAGACGTTATTTTGGTTCCAGCATCTGCGATAACTCTGTATGCGGAATATTTTTTGAAAGTAAATCTGGTCGGTTTCTACGAATAAACAAGTGTGATCGTTTCGTTTGAATTTGTTTTTCAGTATTTGTTTTCCTTTTAGAAATTTGTGTAGGTGCGGAATTTTTTTCGTTTTTGTAAATTATTCAAGTCAGATAAGGTGCTTGAAGTAAGACACATCTGGTCGAATTTTGCGTGATTTATGAAAGGTTTTATTTGGTCGTTTGCAATAAATTAATTCACATGTGGTTCTGATAAGAAGTTGCATGTGTTTTACGATGATGTGCGCGTTTCTCGGCGTAGTGCGGATGCGGGATGCGTTCTGTCGAAGCTACTGTCAGTGAAGTCTCATTGTGGTTGGCGGTTTATGTGAATATTCATAAAGGAGATTATTTTATGGCGGAAGTGGTTCCTTTCTAGTGTTTGGGCATCAACAGTTCTAAATTCTTGTGTGTCGTTGCTTCGATGTAGAATGGTTTTGAATCCACCCCTTGAATTTCGATATGAAAAGAAACGCATTCACTGGCTACAGACTTCTGGGGCGTGGCTTCTCGTTGAGGTGCTCCGCCGTGGAAATTTTCAACTCTATGTTCTTTCTTGGCATTTTGGAAATACTGCGAAAATCTTCGCCCGCAGCGTGAGTTTGATTTGGTCTACACAATGGCTCGCTTTTGGCATAATTTCTTTCTTCAAAATCCACCTAATGGACGGATCGGTTTAAAATTTCACGGCGCGCTCCGCGAAAACGACTAGAGTAATTTCGATAACGGCTAAGGCCTAACAAATGCCGCCTTCACACTATTTACACTCATATTTATAGATGTCGACGTAGTAAAATATGACCCAATCAACGCTTTATCTCTTAACGAGGAATAGTTTAGATACTTACCGCGCTATCACAAGCTTTTTGTCATTCAACATTCGGTTACGATAGAAACATTTAACTCTGCCTTTTCGCGCTTATTTTAATTTCAATGACCCGCTTCATTTACACATCCTGAATATACACACATATGGAATTGCATTTCTAACCGTGCTTGTTATTTTATTTTCCAACTCCCTTTAGCTTTCTTGCGGTTAAATAAAAAACCAATTTGGGTTATGAATTGGTGTTAATAATAGCATTTTGAATTGCCGTGTGAGATGGTCCCATTGTAGATTGGAGATGGGCCCGTTCAGTACCTTTCGTTCACTGCGAAAGCAGTATTTTGCTCTATGTGAAAAGAACTGTCACACATCAGGTGATAGAAGGTAGGAAATTCCAAGAGATGCCATTCAAACTGGTCTTATTATTAAGATGGTGCCTAGGCCCCATAATTACGTTAAGAAACAGTATTGAGGGGAAGTTTAAATTTGTTCGACCTTGAGGAATTATGATTTAAAAGCAATCTTGCAGTATGGACTTTGAATACTGTTTACATTTAATGACATTTTTGAAGGGGATGATCATTCAAGTATTCCACCTCATCAACCTATACCTGACAAAACGCCGCAAAAACCAATGACTCAACCTAATACAGACAGTAGCTTTTATACTCCTGTAATGCAATTAACAGCTCTTCAAGGGTTAAATTCAGGGTCTAAGGTAGGTTTATATTGCAATTTGATCAGATTTGACATATTTGTTCACAGTTCCTACACGAATCGCCTATATCCCCATTTCGGTTTTCATCAGCTACTCCTAGTCAATCTGTCGAAGGAGCAAGGCAAAAACTGTTTGTGGATAATTGCGATACAGCTCAAGTTGAGGTTTGTCTTTCTATCGAATTCGATTGTTCTAAAGTTTAAAGTGTTGTAAATTTAGGATCTGGACGACATTGCTGAATTATGTTCAGGCAAATTTCCTAGTACAAATGATACAACGGTTGTTGAACTACCACAACCCACCACCCAAGATTTACTAGAAATTTGTTCAGGATCGTTTACCGGCCTGACAAATAGTAAATTGAACAACCAATGTGACAGCATTGAGCAATGCAAAAAGCTAGAATCACCAGTAGAGGAACCGGACACTGTTGACCTACCAAATCAGGACTCCAGCAATCCTGATGCCGAATCCAGGTATTTGGATGAAGATAGAATTATCTCGCAGCTTTTAAATGAGGAGGAGCTGGCACAATTTAAAAAGAAATTCGAATCGCCAGTTGCAGATCAAGGTAGCGTAGACATACAGGGAGGTGGCAAGTTAGTCTTTGACTCGTCAGACGATGAGTTCAGCGAAAGTAATCCAAAAGTAACAAAAACTCACCATAAGAAATTACAGTTCTCAGGTAAAAACATTCTACGCACTTTCAAACAATAATGAGATTATTTAAGATGATGAATCTGAAGAAGATAATGACAATGATGAAGAAATTGATCTGTATGATGATAATTCGGATGCGGACGAAGGCAAAATGGAAATTTTGAATGAAGAGATCAATTATGATTCTGAAGAAAATGAAGTCGACCAGTCTTCAGGTAGATTTTCCTTGTGTAGATTTGATGACATAATCTTCTTCTAGTTCACAAACAGAGAAGCGCACCAGGTGACTTCTTGGAGAAGGAAGCTGAGCTTACCGAATCCGAATGGGACAGTGCAGACGAAGACGAAAGAGATTTGGACATTTTAGAAGCCGAACAGGGTGATACAGAAGTGTTTGATGAAAACAAAATAAGAAACGATTTGGAAAAGATTCACATGTAAGTTTTACACATTTTCACAGAAACCTTTAGAACTGTTTTGTAGGCGGAGAGTATTGGATGATGATCAACGAGAAATAAAAATTTTACAGGAAATGCTATTGGAAGATGGTGAATTACATGGCACAGGAAGAGAAAGACAATTCCGTTGGAGGAATATTGGTAATGAATAATCAAATAATAAATATTGTAATACTAATTTAAGAATTGTAGACGATAATGCGAATGATGACCGAGGTCCAAAGGATGAAGATGATGTGTACTTAGAGGAAGACGAAAGTGAGGAACAGTGGAGACGTGCGAGGCATCAGAGAGAAATGTTCTTAAAAAGCGTAATTTAATCCTACCTTTTTTTACTAACTGCATTAGCGACTTTCAGCAGCAAGAACAAAATGGCGTAGACGATTTGGATAGTGATATTCTCTCAAATAACGATAGTCAAGTCTTTAAAATCGGACAAGAGGCTTTCCAAAGGAGTTTATCACATGACAAAAACACGTCAACCGACTTGAATTCTAAAACTTCTTTTTTTTCAGTAAGCAATTCTGTTACGATTATATTGTTTCAACACTCACTATTTTAGAACACTAGGGGATCATTTTTATCACGGACTGACAGATTTTTAACACGGCTTGCTGGTATGACTAAAGTTACGAGTACCGTTAATGTAGTAAAAACTTCTAAGAAGATTGTTTTTCATACAACCAGTTTCACTAGTGAAAATGAGGATAAATCAAATGTAAATGTATCTTATAGCAACCTCCTTTACTTATATCTCATTTCAGAACAAAAGAAAAGCAAGTGATGGGACACCAGTAGCCATAAAGAAATTACGATTAACATCCAATTTTAGTCCTAGTATAAGCACAAGGGATCAAAAGACGAAGTTGTTTTAGTGTACCTATATTTTAGACAAATGTTTATATATACGTTTTAAGAAAATTGTTTGTTGTGTACTTTCCTACAATGGGCGAGATAAAATCTGGACAAAACAAAACCTTTGTGTATATATTTCAGGTTCAAATCGCACATAACGGGAACTGTAGCCATTAATGGCGACTTGAAATGTTCTTCTGAAAAAGTCTTTTAGAGAATTGAATGTAGCCACTCTGGCCTTTGCGTTGTTTCCCTTCCCTCACGCCTAATATGAGCTAGCTAGAGCAATATATGCTGCATCAATACAAGATGGCGATGCATGTTTGGTGGGTATAATTGAGGAAAAATAGTTATTTATACTGGGTGACCCAATAAGACTATTCCTCGGCCATATCTCGGGAACCGTTCGTCGTATGATTTAGGGGTAAACAAAATTATTGGGTAAACCGGTTATGAAGAATCGCTGGAAAATATTTTCAAGTTCCAAAAATGACCACCAGAAGGCGTAATTGCCATCTTAAATTTTAAAATTGCATTTTCTTTAAATTTTGCATAATAAACTGAAAAATTTTTCCAGCGATTCTTCATAACCGATTTACCCAATAATTTTTTGCCCCTAAGTCATACGACGAACGGTTCTCGAGATATGGCCGAGGAACACTCTTATTGGGTCACCCGGTACAACTAGAGAAGAAGGTGGAATTTTTCAACACCAGTATAAAGTTTGACACATGAGCGTAGTGAGTGTGCCAACTGCCAATTGATCGACAGTTGAAAAACACTTTCTTCTCAAGTTTTACACATCATTTTTTCTGAAACTACGATCAAAATTGAAAAATTATCGTATGCAATAATGAAGTTTGACACATAGCAATCTAGATACGAGCATAGATTTAAATATACTTATTTACATCTGTGATACGAGTATGTTTCAATTTTAAATGTCATTATTAAGATTAACGCGGCAATTGATATTTACTTTCCTCCCTAGAGAGGAAAATCACATTTTCTTTACCCTTTTTAGAGATGAAAGTAGTTGCTTCTAACGTAGTTTCAGAAAAAAAATCATTTTTCTACTTAACTATGAATCGTACGCCCTCTAGCGGCAAACCTAGAAACTTGAAAATAATTTCCAGCGATTTCTCTTCAGCTCTTTTTTTAACAAAATCTTTTTGCCTAAGATGTCCAATAAACGATTCCGTAGATGTGGCCTGTGACCTTTATTAATAGGACACAATGGAAAGTGTAGGTACCTACTACATGAATACCAATAGGTACACTGGAAATAATTCTAGAACTTTCATTGTATCAAGATTCTTCAAAAAATTTGAAATAGTCGCTCCGTTTGTTAGCTAAATCTCTAGACGGAATACGGCAGCTTAGGTTTAGATGCATATTGTCGACTATACCAGTAATTTGAAGGCTTCTAGCAAATCAGTTATTGTATAAAAATGGTCCACCGTTTTGATTTTTTGGAGAAACGCATGACCATGAGAGGAAAGCACAAATAATGCACAATATCGCAATTTATATTTCTTAAACACTACCACCATGTAGCATCCTTAGAGAGGCAAGTTTTATGCTACTTTTATTAGCGCATTTTCCAACTCGTGTTGGATTTTTGCATTCGGTAGCTTATAGCTTTAACACATCTAGATATCACTTACCCAAGTTGGCCTTGTCTCTTCTATTCTTTAGTTTATCATCAGACGCAAATCATGATCCAGAACTTGAGCTGTCACCAGTTCTAATGGTGCCCAGTTATCATCCACAAGTACCTACAGTTCGTCGCGTCGTGCCGTGTTGGTCTTCATATTTGTGCTCTCGTTGTGAGCATTTTCGACAATCCTCAGGACATGGTCTTTTAAAAAGGCATCGGTATTACGATGGTTTCGTCCCGCGCAGTGTCCTGTTACAAAATCATACTCTTGCCGTCTTTCCAACCAACTGGCAACTTGACCTGTACTCTTAAATTGTAATAACCATCGCAATGCGGATCCTTACGAGAAACTTCTGACCACACAGACTTGATGACGGTTAACAGTTTTCTGCGGGTAACACAGTAATTACGTTCCGGTTTAGAGAAGACTTTACTAACAACAAATTTATAAGTCTTAAATTGATTAACTCATAACAGTAATTATTATTTATCACTTACAATTTATAACATAACACAAGCGCTTCGAAGTTTGACCTAAACTTTCTTATATATCAAGGACGGCTCAGAATGTTCTAAAACAAACACGTCATATTTCCATGCAAAATTTGTGTCGCATGCCCGATGATTAATCTTTATGGCGCCTCGATGTCTATCGGGATTTCTAGAATATTCGCTACAATAGTTAGTACAAGAAAGAATAAAATGAGTACTACATGTAAATTTTTGCAAAATATAGTCAAACTTATTCATTTTTTGATATTAATTCCAAATTTCCGGATATTACGAGTACATGCATCTACGACCTTGTCATTTACATATTTCTAATGGATGACATGTCATTATACTAGATCAATTGGGCATTTTTTATCCTGAGAAAAACTGCGTTTGCATTTTGTGCAGAAACGCGAGGTGAACCGTTTATCGACGAGTTCCCGAGGGAAACGTAATTTCCATTACGCTTTATTATCCCTTGGAAGCAACAAGTAGGTACTCCGTTCGTGTTCAAGTGGAGAAATGATTCACAATCACAGGTTAGAGCGATGGAATCGAGACTAATGCTAGTATTTGTATGATGAGTTATAGGTAAAGTATACCTAGTAGATACATAATGCTCTTTTATAGTGCTTTCAAAGTTTCCGACAATTGGGAAATTGGGAAAATAGATATACGTTATTGTTCCAATTTATTTTCATTTAAAATGCAATAAGTAGGTATATAAGAAACTACATATCATATACACTTTACGAAGTAGGTAATCTTTGAATTGAATTTTAATCAAATTGTATAAACAAGGACGTTTCGTATTATATTCCGGTGACCGGATATTGTTTCTTGTTTGCTTAGCGGCCAAAGCTTAATGGTGACATTAAATGGTGGTTAGAGCGTATGTTTTAGACGTATACAGAATTTCCAATATTTATATTCCCGTGCGAATGGAATGGACTATTTTGACGTTTGCACAAAGAGCCCTTTGAAGTTAAAAAACGGACAATAACAACTAACGAGAGAATACATTTATGAAGAGGGTTTCGGTGTCAGTTTTATTCTTACACTCAAATAATCACGTAAAGGGATTCTGATTAAATCCACGCAATGATCTGTGTCGAATAAAACGATTTTGGGAAAGTTTCGAAGTAGATGAGTTATATTTTCTTTATCTTTCTTTATAAAAGATTTAATTAATGACAATAATTTTCTTTATTATGTAACAACTATCAAAACGTTTTTATTTTTGCAGACGTAATATTAAGAGATACAAACTACCAAAAATATAGCAAAAGACCCTGTTTTGCATCTAAGGTTAATAGAAAGCCGTCTTGTCCTAGATTGATCGAAAAAATAATATTTCTGAAAGATTATAGCGTTAAGAGGTGAGAAAAATAACGTTTCTGTGATTAAACTAGGAGATTGTAAGTATTTTAGGGGTCCCCTAAACATCATACTAAATAATTTCTTTCTCATGAACACATAAATAAATACTTAATAAAATAAAATAAATCGAAAACTATAAATTAGGATTACTGTATCCAGGGCGTTTCATATTTTTCCCATAGGTAGTACTATCTGGAGGTTCTGTACTTTCAAACCGCTTACTTTGTTTGCGGATGCTGAAAATGAGCGCTGATTGATATGGGCATGCTATAGGTATAGCACGCCCAACGGCGAGTTAAGAGTTGATTGGAAAATTAACGCGAATAGATAGTCACATAAGTATAACAACGAAACGAAGTAGATTTACACTACCTTATTTTATCTACAGTGCGAGTGTAAAGTCTGCAACTATCACATACGTTTTTGAAAAAAATCCTCGAAATGTCAATTTTTATCTTAGGTAGGTAAAGACATATTTTACTGTAATTGTTACTTAAAGATCATTTTTGTTTATGAGGCATGACGTAAGCGATAATTTTTTTAATGAAAACCCTATTTATTTTATGTTGAATTTGGAAAGAGCATGAAATTGTAAGACCAAATATGCTTAAAATGTATGATACTGTATTTTGAAGATTTCTAGTGACTACCCATTCAAATACAAATATTAACCGTGAGCAACGTGTTGCTTGACTGTAAACAATAAATGAATTATTAGTAATAAATGCATACTAAATTTAAAAAAAGACGTGCAGGCGCAACAAAGTCAGGCTCGGTACGTGGTATTTCCAAGAGAACGTATCATCGCGAATTATTTAGAATTTTTAATTTAATAAAGGGTAAATTTCGTTTTTGTTGTCCGATTACAACATAGACATGAAATTCGGAATAGCGGGTTATATACCTACGGATACTTTTGAAGCAAGAATTTTTTCCTAGAAAAGATATCAGTTTCAGGAGACGATTTATTGGGGTATAACTGCACCTGCATAAGCGCGACGAATTGGGGTGTAGCTGTTATTTCTTTTGTGAGTTGCGGTAAACTTTGTCACTACCAGTTTCGTAATCTTATATTTAAAGTCACTTGATTAATTTATATACAGCGTGTCCCATTTATCCTGAGATAATTGATTATTGCGGCCACTAGCGGGGATAGAATGATTTAAATAACCTTTTTTTCTAATGGAGGGGCCCATTGAATAATGCTATGCACATTGTCATATAATGTAACTGAAAATATTTTAATTTAAAAGTGCTCATTGAATAATCCGTACATACTTAGACCTTTACTTTCATTGTGTTAGTTTCTCTAACAATTGATTCAACTCGTCGTTGGACACCCTGTATAAGGGTACATTCAACATAAAAATAAAAATGAAGCTCAGCCGCTTCGGACTAATGTGTTATTGGCTAGTATAACGCTCCCCGAGATTGTGGAAGGTTCAATTAGGCGCCCTAAATATAATCCTGATGCAAAATGTAAAAACTCAGCTTTTTTCCTTTCTTTGAGGATTTAAACTACTGAACCAATTTTAGTGAATTTAAGAGAAACCGTGTCTGATTTGTTGAGTAGG